GAGACAAAGTCCTGCTCTGTCGCCCAGGCTGGAGTGCAGTGTCATGATCTCAGCTCACTGCAACCTCTTGCCTCCTGAGTTCAAGCAATTCTCCTGCCTCAGCCTCCTAAGTTGCTGGGATTACAGGTGTGCACCACCATGCCCAGCTAATTTTTGTATTTTTAGTGTTAGAGACAGGGGTTCACCATGTTGGCTAGGCTCGTCTCAAACTTCTGACTCAGGGTGATCCACCCACCTTGGCCTCCTCAAAGTGCTGGGACTACACAGCATGAGCCACTGCAACCTCGGCCCATTGAGATATTTTTCCATGAAGTGAAAGAAAAAAAGATTTTACTTAAAATTCTTTTCATGCTATATATACGTTGTGAAAATAATGGGTAGAGAAACTACAGAAAGGCCAAAGGTTGTTTACTACTTTTTAAATATCCAAAATAAGTATCATATATATACTTCTGTGATTTATGAAAATGTAGGGCAATTCCACATTTATAAGTTTATACAAAACTTACCACAGATACTCGTGCAAAGGTCATTATACGGTTCAGTCTCTGCCATTGTATTTTATTTGAATGGAGGTAAGTCAAAATTTGATATCTCTCTGTTTACCCATTTCTAGACAAACAACACAAAAAGAGCAATATCAAAATTTAAAAATCTACATCTCTTAGACATTGGTAGGTATTACTGACAATAGCAAGAATGGGCTAAAAAAAAAAAAAAAGCTACAACAGGGAGATACATCAATATATGTTTCCTAATTCTACTTCTTTTAAAATCATTCGTCTCCTAAAAAAAGGAACAGAAGAATTCAACATAAATTCTCTAGTATCCAGTCTAGAAGGTCTTGATAATAATTCTTTCCTAACAAAAAACAAAAAAAAAAGACTTGTCCTCTTTTCTTCAATTAAATATTTTATTTGAATACGTTAACATTTTTATTTTATTTATTTCTTTCAGAGAAATGGTCTCACTCTTGTCACCCGTTGGAGAGAAGTGGTAGCACATCATAGCTCCATTACAGCCTCAGCTCCTTGGCCTCCATGCAATCTACCTTGCTTAGCTTCCCAAGTAGCCTAGACTTAAAGGTTGGCCCTATTACACTGGCTAATTTTTCTAAACTATTTGTAGAGATGAGTGAGCCACTGCAACTGGCCTAAAATTTTGAATTTTAGAAGGACTGTTCCACTTTGAAATTTTTGTTACAAATTGAAATTTTCATAAGTATGCATATTAAAAAAATACTATCTTGATATATTAAAACTACCCAACTATTTTAGTGAAACATTACATTAATTATCCTCAGAGGATACTTAGGTGTAGCCCAATTGTTCTTGAGTGCCAAGTGGAGGGATCAGCACTTAAAGAATAAAGTTTACTGCAGAGGCAACAGGAAATATACTTTATTAAATAAAACTTTTTTCACTGGCAATAGTAAAGAATTGCTGATGGGTCTTGAATAAGGGCAACACTTAAGAAAGATTAATGTGTATGTGGGAGGAAGGAGAGAGCCAGGAGGCAACGACCCTGATTAAGAGACTATGAACAGTCCTGGAAAGCCAAAACAATGGCTTTCCTTTGCATGCTGGCAGCACAAATCCAAGTGATATGGGGATATAAATAAGGATATAATTCATGAGAGCATTAATTCACTTTGGCTGGTAGGAGAATTGGCATTTTTTGGCCCTTTCCAGGCCCTTTTTTCCTTTTTTTTTGTTTAAACCTCATGTATTGATTATTTTTATTATTAAGATTTTAAAACCCATGTTATTATTATTACTATTATTTTTTGAGACAGAGTCTCGCTCTGTCACCCAGGCTATAGTACAGTGGCTCGAATCTTAGCTCACCACAACCTCCTCCTCCCTGGTTCAAGCGATTCTCCCGCCTCAGCCTCCTGAGTAGCTGGGATTACAGGCGCCTGCCAACACGCCTAGCTACTTTTTGTATTTTTCAGTAGAGATAGGGTTTCACCATGTTGGCCAGGCTGGTCTTGAACTCCTGACCTCAGGTGATCCGCCCGCCTCAGCCTCCCAAAGTGCTGGGACTACAGGCGTGAGCCACTGCACCCAGCCCTATTTTTTAAAAAGAAAATTATTGACAGATATACCCATGAACTGAATGATACAGGAGATGGCAGGGGGGCACTGTCTATGTGAGGGAAACAAAGGAAGATTCAAAGATAATTCAAAAGATCAGTCTGAATGGAAGAACAGTAGTTGTAAAAATCAAAGGAAAATAATCAGAAGAAGTCAAGTCTTACTTAAAAGGAAGAGCAGAACAGTTCATTACAGACTATTACAATTTCCTACCTGTGTCAATCCTGATGCTTTGAATAACTCCTGTGGTGATCTGCTTCCATAATAACTATTTGGAGAATGAAGTGACAACAGTCTACTATATATTTTGTTTCTAACCTATAAAAAACAGCATTTTATACTTTACAAATGAATCAAGACAAACTTGGAAGATTATGATAGTTACAATAGCTGTACTGAGAGACAATTCACCCTTTTAAAGCATACAACTTAATGTTGTGTGTTTTGTTTTGTTTTGTTGAGACAGTTGCTGTCGCCCAGGCTGGGTGCAGTGGTGTGATCTTGGCTCACTGCAGCCTGGACCTCCCGGCTCAGGTTGAACCTCCATCTCAGCGTCCTGAGTAGTTGAGACTATAGGTGCGTGCCCCCAGTGCCCAGATAATTATTTTTGTATTTTTTGTAGAGACGGAGTTTCACCACGTTGCCCAGGCTGATCTGAAACTCCTGGGCAACAAGCGATCCTCCCACTTCAAGCTCCCAAAGTGCTGGGATTACATGTGTGAGCCACCACATCTGGCCCCAGTGTTTTTTTTTTTTTTTTTTTTACTATATTCAAACAGTTGTGTGACTATCACCATTATCTAACTTTAGAAATTTTTTATCACCTCAAATAGAAATTCCATCGTCACAAACAGCTACTTCTCAATTCTGCCTCCTTCCCATTCCTTGACAACTACTAATCTAATTTCTGTCTCTATGGGTTTGCCTGTTCTGGACATTTCATATAAACAGTAGATTATGGTTTTAATTTCTCTATTGTACTTGCTGAAATCAAGCCATGTATGTTTTACAAAAGTTATTGTGTATCACGGAAGGATTATTAGACTTTGAATTAGAAAACTTGCTCAAGTATACTTCAAATTTAGTTCTGCAATTTACTAATCATCTTGACAAATAAATTAATTTACTGAGTCTCATTTGTAAATTAAACATAATATCTATCCTTATAGTACTGTGAATTATTCAGGGCTATACACATGCAAAGTTATAAAATTCACTTATAGTTTCTTCAACTATTAAAAAAGGAATAATGGAATTTGCCTTTTTTTTTTTTTTTTTTTTGAGATGGAGTCTCGCTCTGTCACCCAGGCTAGAGTGCACGGGCATGACCTCGGTTCACTGTAACCTCTGCCTCCAGAGTTCAAGCAATTCTCCTACCTCAGCCTCTCGAGTAGTTATAGGTGTGCATCGCCGTGCCCAGCTAATTTTTGTATTTTTAGTAGAGATGGGTTTCACCATGTTGGGCAGGCTGGTCTCAAACTCTTGACCTCAAGTGATCCAGCCGCCTCGGCCTCCCAAAATGCTAGGACTATATGTGTGAGCTATCGTACCCAGCCAGAATCTGCCTTTTTATTTATTTATTTATTTATTTTGGAGATGGAGTTTCACTCTTGTTGCTGAGGCTGGAGTGCAATAGCGTGATCTTGGCTCACTGCAATCTCTGCCTCCCAGGTTCAAGTGATTCTCCTGCCTCAGCATCCCAGGTAGCTGGGATTACAGGTTATGTGCCACCACGACTGGCTAATTTTTGTATTATTAGTAGAGACAGGGTTTCACCATGTTGGCCAGGGTGGTCTTGAACTCCTGACTTCAGGTGATCCACCCACCTTGGCCTCCCAAAGTGCTGGGATTACAGACGTGAGCCACTGTGTCTGGCCAAATTTGCCACATTTAATGTCATGATTGTTATAAAGATTAGATACTTTACACAAATATGCTTTAAAGACAATAAAGTTATACAAACACCTAGTACTTAGCAGGGGCAGACTTAGTTTAATTACATGACACAGCTTTCCATAAAACACATGCTTTGTATTTTCCTATGAAGCAAAACTTTCTTGTAACAGTAAAAAGACTTCCTTTTGTAAAACTAGAAGAATGGTCTTTAAACATCTTAATCAAATCATCAATAAGTAAACCTGGGTTCCACAGAAGAATGGAAAATTAGTTATTGTGTGTGCTAATGTGAGTCTTCTGAAAAGCAGACGCCAAGATAGAATTAAAATGCAAGTATTTTACTAGAGGAGATGCCTGCGAGAGAGAATGGCAGAGCTATGCAAGGTGGGGAGAGCTGTCAAACTGTAATACATGTCTGACCTCAAGTGAATGAGAGAGGGAAGGAAGGCCAGGCCCAAGCATTCTCAGTAACGAGCCCAAGCATTCTCAGTAACGAGCCCAAGCTTACACAGCTAGTGGTGGAGACAGTACTTGGACCCTGGTAATCTGGCTTTAGAGCATATGCACTTAACAACCTACATTACTTAAGAATTTACTATATTCCTAGAAGAAACAGATTCCTCATTATTTTTGAATTTGAAACCAATCTAATTTACTAAATCTACTCATAGCTAACATATTGTATATTACATCACAAGTGAATGTAATGAGGCACTAAAAATTCTACTTTATCTAGCCATATATATAAAAGCTGAACTTCCCCAAAACTCAAACATAAGTAAATCTCAACAAAAATTCATACACTGATTAGCCCCCAAAGTATATATTTTTTCCTCTAACATTTTGTCTTGACAAAAGAATACAGCCCAAAGTTCCATTAGAGCTCACTAGCTGGAAACGTATTTAAAGCCAGTATTTTGGGATTTCCTGAAGCCACAGTACATACCTCTTTTTTGAAATTGAGAAAGTAGTTGGATTGGTCAACATGAAAAATCTCAAGGGCTGATCTTCTTAAGTTGTAACGCCGGAGGTGAATCTCTCGAATTTGAGAATGAGGCCACTTGAAATCAAAACCTACTCCTGAAAAGAGAAGAAATCTTGTGACTGAGATACCATATAAAGTTACTCATGCTATGTAGAAAATATCTTTTAGTTCTTGACAAAAGGTTTTAGGAAAAAGGAATTCAATTTCTATACTATATAAACCATTTGTTAAACATGTTGGATATTTAAACTGGTTCTTTCAAAACTATTTTAAAGTTCTATAACTATTCTACTGCCTTCCCATTAGAATACAAGATAATTCTGAATACACCTCAGAAACAGTTTTCTTTTTCTCTGTATGTTGGTATCTTAGATTTAATCATTCTTTTATTATCACATAAAAGATGACATGAGAAGCCTATAGGAATAAGTACACATACAAAGGTATGATAAAATGAAGATAAAATGAAGACAAAGGTATGATAAAATGCGTGTGGTGGCTCACACCTGTAATCCCAGCACTTTGGGAGGCTGAGGTGGGCAGATCACCTGAGGTCAGGAGTTCGAGACCAGCCTGACCAACATGGAGAAACCCTGTCTCTATTAACAAAAAATACAAAATTAGAAGGGCATGGTGGCACATGCCTGTAAGCCCAGCTACTTGGGAGGCTGAGGCAGGAGAATTGCTTGAACCTGGGAGGCGGAGGGCTCAGTGAATCAAGATTGCATCATTGCACTCCAGCCTCGGCAACAAGAACGAAACTCCATCTCGAAAAATAATAATAATAATAAACACTGATTTTGTAACGTAAGTTTATAGTAATTCCCTCTAGCCAAACCCTTAAAAATGCATCGATAATTTTTAAAAAGCATTCCCTTCCACTTGGTAACAAATTTAACCCCATACTGACTTTCCATTTCTCCTTTTACATGATACACAGTTCTATCTTACTGCATTCTTCTCATTCATGATTGATAAATTGGATACTTAATTATTGAACAGCAAAAATCATTTTTTCCAGAACTCCTCACCATCTTCTTTTTCAATGCTGCCATCATAGAAGTAAATGTGTTGAGTAGTGATTTCTAATCTGCCAGGAATTACATCAATTATTGTAATGAGTTCACAGTCTTCCATCAATACCAATTTTTCTTTTTGATCCTGTTCTTCTTTCTCATCACTGTAAAAACAAAAAGCCAATAAACAGAAAAATCTAACCATTTATTTTTCTTAAATAGAAAAAATACCATATTTAAATATAAATCTTTCTGATTTTACTTTTTTTTGAGACAAAGTCTTGTTGCCGTGGCACAATGTCAGCTCAATCACCGCAACCTCTGCCTCCCGGGCTCAAGCAATCCTCCCACCTCAGCCACCCAAGTAGCTGGGAATACAGGTGCATGCCACCATGCCCAGCTAATTTTTATATTTTTTGTAGAGATGGGGTTTTGCCATGTTGCCCAGGCTGGTTTTGATCTCCTGAGCTCAAGGGATCCACCCACCTTGGTCTTCCAAAGTGCTGGGATAATATGCATGAGCCACCGTGCCTGGCCTCAAATATAAATCACTTATCTGTCAAATTAATGTCCGGAAAGAATATTTGAATTACCCTCAAGAAATATTCTGCATATCAAATTACTTAAACAGTGTCCAAATATTTTTATTACTCAATGTTTCAGTTTCATTAAAAATAAGCTTTACATCCTTATTTTATACGACCCATTATAATAAAACACAGTGACCCTGTAAAACAACTAGCAGAGGACAGTCGAAAAATAAGGCAATATTGGTCATGTCATTTTAGCTATATTGTGGGAGACATGAATTGACCCACAAAATACATGAATCTGTGACTAAGACTGCATTGCAGTGATGTTTGTAAATAATTATTAGAAGTACTAAATATGAATCTTAAACTATAAAATAAGACTTTCAAGAGTAACTAAAACTAGAGAGCATCACCATTACAGCATCCCCTTACCAAGGGAACTGGAGATAATGCAAAGAGCTATTATTGCCATACCTTACTTAAAGTGAAGTCACCTTATATTAGGAGGAATATTATTTATATTTGCTGGAGGAAGTAACTGGAAAGAGAGTCTTTTGGTGGCCTAGGTGACTTTAACTGCCAAGGATAGAAATAGGAGCTCCTGGCTGGGCGCAGTGGCTCACGTCTGTAATCCCACCACTTTGGGAGGCTGAGGTGGGCAGATCACCTGAGGTCAGGAGGTCAAGACCAGCCTGACCAACATGGAGAAACTCTGTCTCTACTAAAAATACAAAATTAGCCAGGCGTGTTGGTGCGTGCCTGTAATCCCAGCTACTCAGGAGGCTGAGGCAAAAGAATCGCTTGAACCTGGGAGATGGAGTTGCGGAGAGCTGAGATCATGCCACTACACTCCAGTATGGGCAACAAGAGTGCAACTCCGTCTCAAAAAAAAAAAAAAAAAAAAAGAGAGAAACGGGAGCTCCTACCACTCACAGAATGTTATTCAACTAAATCTTTTAAGCCAACTACTCTCTGGTCCTAGACATTTCATATCTGCCTCATGTCCGGGGTACCAATGACTAAGTCTAATTTTATTTTTAGTGGGTTTCCATGAGGAGTTCTGTATCACCAATTTAAGTTTGTAATGTTGCAACCATTTATTTAAAACTAAGCTTTTCTTTTTAAAAATATAATTACTGGAAACAATGTTTTTCCAAACACTGAAATACTAATATTTACAGTGATAAATAGTGCAATGAGTAACCCTAAAAAAGTAAATAGTCTGAGAGTTATTTATATTAGATGACAAAAAGTATTTTGGTTCTTCAGTGTAAAAAAATTAGTCTGACATCCATTAAATTCACTAGTCATCAAAGAAAGAAAAAAAAAAATCCCAATTAAAAAGCTGACTGAATATCTACCAAGATATTTCCCTATATAATTGCCCCTCCCCAGTACCCTGAAAATAATCAAGGAAATCTAAAAAAATTACTGAATTAATATAAATAAAAATCCTGATTATGCCACCAAAGAATACTACTGAATCTAGTCAATTTTTAATACACCCATTTTTTGAGATGGGGTCTCACTCTGACACCCAGGCTGGAGTGCAGTGGTGCAATCTTGCCTCATTGTAACGTCCACCTTCCAGGCTCAAGCATTCCTTCCACTTCAGCCTCCCAGGTAGCTGAGAACAAAGGCGCACACCACCACGCCAAGCTAAATTTTTGTATTTTTGGTAGAGACGGAATTTTGCCATGTTGCCCAGGCTGGTCTGGAGCTCCTGAACTCAAGTGATCTGTCCACCTCAGCCTCCCAAAGTGCTGACAAATTGAGGGCCACCATGCCTGGCCCTCAATTTGTAATATTAAAATAAGCTTCAAAGAAAGATTTGCCATGTGTAGTTCATAATGTAAACAAATCATATATTTGGGACATAGCTACTCATTCTTGGCTGAATATGTGGCTTTACGAACATAGAAAGTTAAGTATCAGGCGGGGCGCAGTGGCTCACACCTGTAATCCCAGCACTTTGGGTGGCCATGGTGGGAGCAAACGGGATCAGGAGTTTGAGGTCAGCCTGGCCAACATGGTGAAACCCGTCTCTACAAAAAATACAAAAAATTAGCTGGGTGTAGTGGCACACGCCTGTAATTCCAACTACTTGAGAGGCTGAAGCACGAGAATCACTCAAACCCAGGAGGCAGTGGTTGCAGTGAGCTGAGATTGTGCCACTGCACTCCAGCCTAGTTGAGAGTAAGACTCCATCTCAAAAAAAAAAAAAAAAAAATCAATCAATCAATCAAATAAAAACAAAACAAAATCCCCCAAAACTCACATTAGGGCAGATATATAAATCATGAACTTTAAATGTAATCCCTAAGCAATGTACAGATCCACTGGTGAAAGATGGCAGTCTTACTGGATCTTTTATTTTAGAGATGGGGGGTGGGGTGGGTCTTGCTTATTTATATATTTATTTTAGAGGTAGGGTCTGGCTCTGTCACCCAGGCTGCACTGTAGTGGTGTGATCATAGCTTACTGCAGCTTTCAACTCCTGGGCTCAGAGGATCTTCCTGCCTCAGCCTTCCCAATAGTTAAGACTATAGGCACACACCACCACCATGCCTGGCTTATTTATTTATTTATTTTGAGATGGAGTCTTGCTCTGTCACCCAGGCTGAAGTGCAGTGGAGCGATCTCAGCTCACTGCAACCTCTGCCTCCTGAGTTGGCACAATTCTCCTTCCTCAGTCTCCTGAGTAGCTGGGACTACAAGCGCCCGCTACCACACCTGGCTAATTTTTGTATTTTTAGTAAAGACAGTGTTTCACCATGTTGGCCAGGATAGTCTCAATCTCTTAACTGCGTGATCTACCTGCCTCAGCCTCCCAAAGTGCTGGGACTACAGGCATGAGCCACCATACCTGGCCTATTTTCTATTTTTTATTTTTGAGACGGAGTCTCACTCTGTTGCCCAGGCTGGAGTGCAATGGTGCAATCTTAGCTCATTGCAAGCTCCACCTCCTGGGTTTACGTCATTCTCCTGCCTCAGCCTTCCGAGTAGCTGGGACTACAGGTGCCCGCCACCACGCCCGACTAATTTTTTGTATTTTTAGTAGAGATGCAGTTTCACCATGTTAGCCAGAATGGTCTCGATCCCCTGACCTCATGATCCACCTGCCTTGGACTCCCAAAGTGCTGGGATTACAGGTATGAGCCACTGCACCCAGCCCGCCTGGCCTATTTTCTTAGAGAGAGGGTCTCACTATGTTGCTCAGGTTGGTCTCAAACTCCTGCCCTTTAGTGATCCGCCCACTTCGGCCTCCCAAAGTGCTGGGATTACAGGTATGAGCCACTGCACCCAGCCCGCCTGGCCTATTTTCTTAGAGAGAGGGTCTCACTATGTTGCTCAGGTTGGTCTCAAACTCCTGCCCTTTAGTGATCCTCTTGCCTCAGCCTCCTGAATAGCTGGGATTATTCTCGTGAGCTATAGCATTCAGCTGGATCAGGGGGGCTAAAGACAACCTCTAACCAATGACTGACCACCAACGTATGCTGACCCACAGACAATCCCTACTAGGCCAGGTTTTACAACAAAAAACAAAACAAAACAAAACCCAATGAATAGAGACGTCATTGGCAACACACAGCAGGTTAAAACAGGCTCCACAGAATTAGTTCAGGAAAGTAAATAAACAAACAAAATCACAACAGTAGCAACCGTAACAGAGGGAGATCAGAAGCCAGATTGGCTACAATTTGTTACCAAAAGTGTATAGTTTTTTAACAAAAATTATGAGAAAACAAAGAAAAAGGAAAGTATGAGCTATAAACACAAAAGCAATAAAAAGAAACTGTCTCTGGCAGACCTCTGATGTTCAATTTAACAATGACTTCAAAGTAGCTATCATAAATACATCAAAAGAACATAGGAAACTATGTTTAAAGAAATAAAGGGAAGTATGGCAATGAAGCTAATCAAATAGAGACTATCAATAAAGAGATAGAAATTAAAAACATTTTAAAAAAGAACCAGGCCGGGCATGGTGGCTCACGCCTGTAATCCCAGCACTCTGGGAAGCCGTGGTGGGTGGATCACCTGAGGTCAGGAGTTTGAGACCAGCCTGGTCAACATGGCCAAACCCTGTCTCCACTAGAAGTACAAACATTAGCCATGCATGGTGGCAGGCGCCTGTAATCCCAGCTACTCAGGAGGCTAAGGCAGGAGAATTGCTTGAACTTGGGAGGCAGAGGTCGCAGTTAGCCGAGATTGCGCCACTGCACTCTAGCATGGGTGACAAGAGTGAGACTCTGTCTCAAAAAAAAAAAAAAAAAAAAAAGGGTGGGGGGGCAAGTGATTTGCATAGATATTCTCCAAAGTAGATATATTAATGGCAAACAAGCACATGAAAAGATGCTCAACATTATTAGGTACTAGGAAAATGCAAATTAGATAGATATGACTTCAAACCATACAGGATGGCTATAATGAATTTTTACAAACCCACAAGGAAAATAACAAGGGTAGATGTGGAGCAATCAGAACACTCATATATTGCTGGTGAAAATGTAAAATGATGTGGTCCCTGTAAAAAACAGTTTGGTAATTCCTCAAAAGTTCAAACAGAATTATCATATGATCTAACTATTATACTCCTCAGTAGATACCCAAGACGACTAAAAACTTATGTTTGCACAAAAATTTGTACATGAATATTCATGGAAGTACTATTCATAATAGCCTAAAAGTAGAAACAACCTAAATGCTGACTGATGAATGGATAAGCAAAATGTGATTATCCATAATTTTGGACAACCATAAATGGTTATAAATGGAAAATTATTTATATTATTATTCAGCCACAAAAAGGAATAAAGTACTCTTATATGCTATGACATGAATGAATCTTGAAAACATTCCAAATGAAAATAAGCCAGACACAAATTGTAGGAGTTACAGAAAATGTCCAAAGTAGGCAAATCCACAGAGACAAAGTAATTAGTGGTTGCCAGGGTGTGTAAGAAGGGGAAAACCGGGACCGACCACTAAAAGGTACAAGATTTCCTTTTGGGGTGATATAAATGTTCCGGAATTATACAGTGGGGATGGTTGTACAAATTTGTGAAAACACTAAAAAATCCCATTGAATTGTGTGCATTAAAAACGGTAAATTTTATGTTTGTGAGATATATCTGGATTAACAAAAATAAAGACCTCCCTGGAAAACAAATGGAGAGTTTGTGGCAATCAGACTTTCCTTATTAGAAATACCAGAGGGCTGGGTGCAGCGGCTCACTCTCTGGTGGCCTATAATCCAAGCACTTTGGGAAACCAAGACGGGAGGATAATGTGGGCCCAAGGGTTTGAGACCAGCCTGGGCAATACAGTGAGACTCTGTCTCTGCAAAAAAATTTAAAAATTAGCTAGACATGGTGGTGTGCCTATAGTCCCAGCTACTCAGGAGGCTGAGGCAGGAGGATCACTTGAGACCAGGAAGTAGAGGCTCCAGTGAGCTGTGATCACACCACTGCACTCCAGTTGAGGTGACACAGCAAGATCCTGTCTCAAAAAACAAACAAACAAACAAAAACACACACACACACACAAAAACACACACACAAAATAACTGAAGAAAGTCTTTTAGGCTGGAAGGAATTTTTATCAGATGATAAATGAATGCACACACAAAGAAATAAAGTGCACAAGTATGATACTTGATAATTATGTAGCAAACATAAAGTATTAATAACATACATTTGTGTTCTTCCTATAATTCATTTAAAGATAACTGCATAAAACAGCAACTATAAAACTGTATTGCTGAACTTATACAAAGAAATGTAATATGTATGACAGCAGTAACACAAAGAGGAGATGAGGAAATTAATATATTTTACATTTCCTTAAAGAAAGTTTTGAAGTACAAATTAAAAATTTTAAAATGTATCTAAGGCTTTTCAGGTTATCTGTTTCTTCTTGAGGGAGACTGGGTAATTTGCATCTTTCAAAGCATTTGTTTCATCTAAGCTGTCAAACTTACAGGCATAAAATCATTAGTATTCTTCTCAATCATCTTATTATTTGTGGCATCATCTCCTCTTTCAATCCTAATATAGGCAATTTATGTTGTCTTTCTTTTAATCAGTCTGGCTAGAGGTTTATGTTTTTTTGCTTTTTGTTAGTTTGTTGTTTGTTTTTAATAACCAGGCTTCAATGTTTTTAATCTTTCTGTTTTTCTCTTTCACGAATTTCTGCTTTTGTTTTTATAAAGTTCTCTCTTTTGCTTAACAGTTTATATTTTGTTCTGTACATTTCCATCTGAACACAGGTATAGCTGAATCTCACAAATTCAATGTATTGCCTTCATTATCATACAGTTCTAAATACCCTCTAATTTCAAAGTCCAGTTCCATGTTATCCCAGTTCTAAGAAGCCTTTCTCAATAATCTCAGTACTGATAAAATCCTAACAGCTGATACAGCATTAACTGTTGGACCCTGAAAATACGTGGCGTTAGAATTTCAAGCAAATCTTTTCCACGATTTTGCAATCCCCTTTCTCAGAACAAAATAATTTTAAATATTTATACATACACATTTACTCTAGCTGATATATCCTCTTCAGGAAGGTCTAATTTATCCTCCTCCATATCACTAACTTTTACTTGTTTCACTACTTCCAAAAGCAATGTATCACTGGAAGGCTGTGAGTGTTGGATACCTGTTTTAAACACAAAATATCTATTAAACATAAAGTAAAAAACAATATTATAGCCCTTCTGTAATTTCTGATTGCTAATTATGTTCCTGACTGTTAGATAATAACAATATGTATATAAGTAAAGATGGTACGTTGATTTAGAGTAATCCTTGATGTTTGATGGTGATTTTGACAACTACTATTCATAAGGTAAAAAGAATAAATGTTTTAAAAATAATAGTATCTATTTTTAATAATGGTACTATTTGTTTCAGAAATAGGCCAAGTACTCTCTTAATTTATATTTAATTCTAAAGGTTGCCAATAATTAAGTCAAAGGAAGAAATATTCTAATTGTATTAATGTAATAGAACTATTTTTAACATGCATTTGTACTAAAGCAAAACTAAGAAAGAATATATGATAAGTTGTCTTTAATCGGGAAATAATACACAGACCAAGAGCGAAAGTGTTTACTTTCTGGACCACAAGGAATTTAATACATAATTCTGAGGCATATATATGAAATACATGTAATGTATTTTATAAACTAAACATCCTGCAAAAAGGCAGGTCTGGTATAATGAAAATAACATGGTCTATGAAGTGGTGAACCTAGATTCAAATTTAGTTTTGCCATTTAGTAAGCCATATGACCCTTCTGAACGTATGTTTTCTAAATTGTAAAATGGAGACTTCATCACAAGGTTGTTAGGCACATGAAAGGTAATACATGTGAAACATCTGGTACACATTAAATATAAAATAAATGATAGCTACTATTATATATTTACCTTCCAACTATCTGATTGAAATAAGAACTGTAATACAAATATATGCATAATTTATAGGACTGAAAAAAATTAACACACTTAACTATGAATAAAGATTTCATTTATGGCAAAAATAATTCATATAAAATACATAAATAACACAATACTGCAAGTAACTATAAATAACAAAACACTATAAAGATGACAAATCCTCTCTTAACTTCTCAAATGATACCATTGCTCAGACATAAGATGAATCAACCTAATGTACAATTGCATTTTTCTGTGTAAATCTGTTTGATCATACCTTCTTCTATATTGGGAAGTAGTGATTCACATTTTCCCTAGAACAAGTTAGTAACTATTTCTACTGAACATGTTTTTTCATGAGGTCTAATTTATCGTTAAAACATTTAATTAATAAAGTACATAACAATGCAGTAAAAAGTGAAAAGAAGGAAGCCCAGATAGTCTGACACAAATAGGAAATCGACTTTATGTAGATGTATGGTACTATCCCGTTAACAGTATGAATTGAAAATCTGATGGAAGATTGGTGAAGGATGGAGAATGAAGGATAGACTGCAGCAAGGAAGCCAGCTGGGAAGCTACTGTAAGTTTGGAGAAAGCACCAAGCTAAGCCACGGCAATAGCAAAGGGAATGAAAATAAGGAAAAACATTCAAAGGTTATGTAAGAGATAGAATCAACAGGACACAGTACCTAAAGAGCTGTTATATGTAGGGATTTCAGAGAGATGAGGAAAGACTCATGGATAATATGGATTTTAATTTCAGCAGCTAATATATGGAGATACTGATAACTACAATACCAGATACAAGAGAAGCAGAAACTAGGGTAAGGAATACACATACGAGAAAAGAGAATAAATTCAGTTTCAGAAATGTCATAAGGAGACTGTGGAACAGGTATCCCAATAGCCAGTTGGAAACATCGTTCTAGAGTTCAAAAGGAAGGTTGGAGCTAGAAATACAGATGGGAAAGCAGCATTACATATATGGTGGGGAAGCCATGAGATCACTTAGGAAAAGCACAGGTAAAGGCAAGATGCTAGCAATGGATCTGGGAACATCATCATTTAAAGGTGTGCAGGAAAACAGTTTTAGAAAAAAAGACTAAAAGTTGGTATAAAAAGTAGGAGGTTAAACAGCAGAGCTAAGAAAGAAATATATTTACAGTCTGAGTGGGATGGCTCATGCCTGTAATCCCAGCACTTTGGGAGGCCGAGTCAGGAGGATTGTTAGAGCCCAGAAATTCGAGACCAACCTGGGCAACAGAGGGAGACCTTGTCTCCACAAAAACAGTTTAAAAATTAAAAAACTAGCTGGGTGTGGTGGTACACATCTATAGTACCAGCTGCTCAGGAAGCTGTGGCAGGAGGATCACTTGAGCCCAGGAGCTCAAGTCTGCAATGAGTGGTGACTGCACCACTGCACTCCAGCCTGGGTGACAGAGTGACATCCTGTCTCACAAAACAAACAAACAAACAGGAAAAGAAAGAAGGAAAGAAATACACTTACAGAGGAGGATAACCACTAAATGCTTCAGAAACAATGGAAGCAGGGTGAGGACTAAAAATAAGTTGTTAAATTTGCCAATCAGAAAACAGCATGTCTAATAAAGAATTACAGACAAAAAAAAATTTCTTAAATCAAATTTTTTTTTTGGGAGAGAGGGTTTTACTGTGTTGCCCAGGCTGGAATGAAGTGGTACAATCATGTCTCACTGCAGCCTCAATCTCCTGGGCTCAAGCAATCCTCCACCTCAGCCTCCCAAGTACCTGGGGTCATGGGCGCACATGACTGCACCCAGTTGACTTTTAAAATGGTTTTGTAGAGATGAGGTCTCATTATGTTGTCCAGACTGGTTTTCAACTCCTGGGCTCAAGTGACTCTTCTCCTTGGACTCCCAAAGTGCTGGGATTACAGGTATGAGCCACCACACCCAGCCAAACCAAACGTTTTTTCTCTTTTGAGACAAGGTCTCACTCTGTTGCCCAGGCTGGAATGCAGTGACACAATCGTGGCTCAACACAATCGTGGCTCACTGTAGCCTCGACCTCCTGGGTTCAAGGGATCTTCTCACCTCTGAGTAGCTCCAACTACAAGCATGTGCCACCTGGCTACAAAACATTTTATTTTATCACTATGTTGCCCACACTACAAACCAAATATTTTTACTGATACATTTAAGAATATATTCTTTTTGATTCTTCAAATTCCCTAATTTACAAGTGGGTGTGTTCGAAAAGATGCTTCATAAGTCAGCTGTTTGAAATTAATAATGGATTTTCCATCCAAAATAATATTTTAAATCATGGTTAGCTTTGCAGGTTAGCCCATAATGAAAACACTATTCTATACATCTGCAATGGGTTGCTTATAAAAGGCAGTATTGGGGTAAGTAAAACAAAACAAGATAATATTTAAAAAAAGAATACCATGAATTCTGGCAGTTAATGAAAATACTCTATAGACAAAACTAAGGAGTAGGTAAAACATTTTGCAGTTAATTCTGAAGTATACTTCAAAGAACTTTAAAGATTTTAAAGACTGATGCCATTTGTTATGATTTCCAATTTCACCTTGAAATATATAAATTTTTTTCTGTACAGTTTTATTGTCACTATTATACTTGAAATAAATTTTTAAGTGAGAAAAACAAAAAGAACAACTAAGACTAAGAAGGGACATAAAATTACATCTGTGTGCATGTGTAGAGGGGTGAGAAGGAGAGGAAAAAGCAGAGGGAACTTTATGGAAGGAGATTTCTTGGTAAAAGTCAAGAAAATAATATGGAACACTATTCCTTAAGTAACTATTAAGGTCATTTACCAAAAGATGTTTGTTGGGTGTTAATGATAGTTATATCTCAAAGAGTAGAGAAAGATACTTACAGAAGAGGATACAAGATTCTTTCAGAGAAAAAGCTATACACAATTGGCTATTGCTATGTAAGATAACACTCAAAGTTAGTGTTTATATCACGGACAGGGCCATTATTTTGAATTAAGGAAAACCACTTACTGTATCTGATTTATTTCAAAATGTAAGACTCTAAATGGCAAGCATCATGGCTCTCTTGATTCATTTTATGGCATCAAATATTTTGGCCATATGTTAAGGCAATTAAAAAAAATAAGATCTCGCCAGGCATGCTGGCTCATGTCTGTAATCCCAGCACTTTGGGAGGGTGAGGTGGAAGGATGGCCAGTTGAGCCCAGGAGTTCAAGACCAGTCTGGCAACATGGTGAGACCTTGTCTCTACCAAAAAAAAAAAAAAAAAAGCTGGGCATGGCATGGTGGCACGCATTGGTAGTCCCAGCTAATCAGGAAGCTGAGGCAGAAGGATTGCTTGAGTCTAGGAGGCCAAGGCTGCAGTGAGGCATGTTCAAGTCTCTGCAATCTAGCCTGGTCAATACAGGGAGACCCAGTCTCAAAAAAATAAAAGTAGTTTAAAAATAACATCTAAAAGTTGGTACTCACGTCATCTAAAACTACAACATAATATGCCTACGATTACCAATGATTTGTTGTTGTTGTTGAGAAGGAGTTTTGCTCTTGTCACCCAGGCTGGAGTGCAATGATACGATACCGGCTCACGGCCACCTCTGCCTCTCGTGTTCAAGTGATTCTCCTGCCTCAGTCTCCGGAGTAGCTGGGATTACAGGTGCCCGCCACCATGCCCAGCTAATTTTTGTATTTTTAGTAGAGACAGGGTTTCACCATGTTGGCCAGGCTGGTCTCGAACTCCTGACCTCAGGTGATCTGCCTGCCATGGCCTCCCGAAGTGCTGGGATTACAGGCATAAGCCACCATGCAGGCCCAATTATTCTTGATAAACAACATTTTGGGGTATTTCACAGACCTATCTTAAAAAAGGGAGAGATGACAAGTGAGATAGTTACAAAGGAAGGGCTTCCTAAAGAGTTGCAGAAACCCCTTAAGATCTGTTTTGAAATACTGTCAGGCTAAATTTTTGTTTGTTTTGAGACAGAGTTTTGCTCTTGTTGCTCAGACTGGAATGCAGTGGCGTGATCTCAGCTCACTGCAACCTCCGCCTCCCGGGTTCAAGCGATTCTCCTGCCTCAGCCTCCTGAGTAGCTGGGATTACAGGTGCCCGCCACCATGCCTGGCTGATTTTTTATATTTTTAGTAGAGACGGGGTTTCGCCATGTTGGCCAGGCTGGTCTTGAACTCCTGACCTCAAGTAGTTTTTGTTTTTTTTTTCTAGAAAAAGGCATTGACCAATCTAAGATACTAAGGGTCTACAGCTCTACAAAAATAGGTTATAATAAAAGGCATAAAAGATTGCTAAGAATTCTAGCTGAGTTCGGTGGTTCACACCTGTAATCCCAGCACTTTGGGAGGCAGAGGTGGGAGGATCACTTGAGGTCAGGAGTTGGAGACCAGCCTGGCCAACATGGTGAAACCCCATCTCTACTAAAAATATAAAAATTAGCCAGGTGTGGTGGCATGTGACTGTAGTCCCAGCTACTCAGAGGCTGAGGCACGAGAATTGCTTGAACCCAGGAAGTGGAGGCTGCAGTGAGCTGAGATTGCTTCACTGCACTTCAGCCTGGGCAAGAGAGTGAGACTCTGTCTCAAAAACAAAAAAAAAAAAAGAAAAGGATTGCTAAGAATTCTATCTAACATTAGTATTAGCCTCAATCTTGATGAGCAAAAAAACTAAGAGAAAAGAACACTGTTTCATTGCAAGAGACATAACAGTTGATATGAAGTACAGTATACTTTTATAATTAAAGTTTTTTTCTTTTAGAAATTAAAATCAATGGAAGTATTAAATTACCTTGGATTTAGGCCAAATGTAACAGGACTAAAAACATACAGTCATTTAAATATCAGTTATAAAATGCCACCCTTCCTTCATAAGTAAACACATTTAAAACAATGAAATAACAATCATCAACTCCAAGAACACTCTCATTATCTTCAACAAATAATTAAACGGTCATTGGAACTCACCCAGATTATCTCTCAAGGCACTAGCTTCCTCATGGGTTTTGAAATTATAATTCGGTACCAGCTTAAGTCTCATGCGGGAATAATTCTCTACATTAGCTAGCTTCCAATGAATTGGATTCTGTTTCCTAAGAATATTCATAAGCAAACAAGTAAAATTATTTAGCTTAAGTTACAAAGATTGATTTAAATACTGTAAAAAAGTATCAGGTACTTTACATTTGTTTAGTACCATTTTATTTTGCTTTTATTTTTTAGAGACAGAGTCTCATTCTGTCACCCAGGCTGGAGTGTAGTGGCACAATCTCAGCTCACTGCAACCTCTGCCTCCTGGATTCAAGTGATTCTCGTGCCTCAGCCTCCCGACATAGCAGGGATTACAGGCGTGTGCCCCTATGCCCAGCTAATTTTTGTAATTTTAGTAGAGACGGGGTTTTGCCATGTTGGTCAGGCTGGTCTTGAACTCCTGGCCTCAAGCAATTTGCCCGCCTTGGCCTCCCAAAGTAGTGGGATTACAAGTGTGAGCCACCACGCCCAGTCTGTTTAGCACCATTTTACAAAACTGTTCACATTTCTGATTTCATTTAATCCAAATAACTCTGATAGAACCAAAGTGAGTAGGCGTAGCTGTACTGTATACACGAGGAATCTAAAACAGACGAAATAATTTGCCCAAGGTGACATGAGGTTTACAGGTAGCAGAAGTAAGATTTGAACATTGACTTTTAGACTTACAGCTTGATACCTTTACTCTTTCATTGTTAAATGGGAGTTCTTAACTAACTATACAGACGGTTTATATTTCCAATAGTTTTCAAAATAAAAAATAATTTTACTACAAATAAAGACAATATAATTGCAAGTGGACAAAGATCTACATATAAGAGCTAAAACTATAAAACTCTTAGGAGAAAAGGTAAGGGTAAAACTTCATGACCTTGGACTTGGCAATGGTTTCTTAGATATGACACCAAAAAAACCAAAAAGCAACAACAAAATAGGTTAAACTGGACTTCATTAAAACTAACAACTTTCCTGTATCAAAAGGGCTGCTATTAATAAAGTGAAAAGACAATCTACATATATGAAAATCATATATAGGATCAGAGTCTATTATTAAGTATATACATATACATATATTTATATATACACTCTTACAATTCAACAAAAAAATCAATCTAAAAATGGGCAAAGGACTTGAGCAGACATTTCTTCAAACAAGAAGTAAAAATGACCAACAAGCACATGAAAAGATGCTAGACATCATTAATCACTAGGAAATGGAATATGAAATCATAAAATACCACTTTACTCCCACTAGGAGGGTCATAATAAAAAATCAGGAAATGACAAGTGTTGGTAAGAATGCGGAGAAATTGGAACCCTCACACATTGTTAGTGAAAATATAAAATGATGCAGCTGCTGTGGAAAGCAGTTTGGCAGTTCCTTAGCAAATTAAACACAGAATTATCATACAACCCAGTAATTCCATTCATAGTTTATACTCAAGAGAATTAAAAACAAGTGTTCAAACACTTGTACACAAATGTTACCAGCAGCACTAATCAAAATAGCCAAAAAGTGGAAAACAACCCAAATGCCCATCCAACTGTTGACTAGATAAAGAAAAGATGATATATCCTTATAAGGGAATACTATTCAGCCATAAAAAGGAATAAAGTACTGATACATGCTACTACATAATGAAAACATTATGCTAAGTGAAAGATGGCAGACACAAAAAGCCACATATTGTATGATTCCATTTATATGAAATAACCGGAACAGGCAAATAATACAGTCAAAAAGCTGATTGGTGGTTGCTAGGGGGTGGGACAGAAGATAATAAGGAGTGACTTTTTAATAAGTACAGGATTTCCTTTTTAGGTGATAAAAATGTTATGAAGTTAGACAGTGGTGATGATCGTACATTACGAATATACTCAGTGCCAGCGAACTGTACATTTTAAAATGGTTAAGAGGATAAATTTTATATTATGTACATTTTACCACATTTTTAAAAGGGCTGTAAAAAAAAAAAGAGATAATATAATTAAGCAAAACAGAAGTGACTGAGGATCAATTAAATGAATTGTAAAATATTCAAACATACAACAGCATTAGCCCTAGCTCAAAGGGGTGATATCAGAAAGACAGAAGTAAATTGGTTTAACACTCTCTAAGAGTCTAAAGTCCAATAAACTTCATATCAAAGGGTCAAAGGAAGGCAAATAACTGTAAGATAAGAAACAATACAACCTCGAATCATCCCAGACCTATAATTCACAAAAAGATAATAAATAAGATTAAAAGCACCCTTTTATAAATTGAACATTTAAAAAATTGGAGTGCAAGGGGCATTGGTTCAAAAATTTCTAGACCAGAGTTGTAAAGAAAAAAGAGTACTTAATAAAATTATATCCTCTTACCTTTTAGCCCAAGGTCCCCTTTCACATGTAAGATAGAGCTGTATTGCTTTCCAGCGTCTAAGAGTGGCTAACTGTTGACTGCTAAGTTGTTTAAGCATATTATTATACCTGAGGTTCTCTTGGCGTGCTTTTCGATTAAATGGCTCCACAAACAGTTCCTGAAAGAAACAATAAAAGTTAAGTTCATTGACTCATATATTTACAGGTATATTTACATTTTAATTCCATAATTTAACATTTTTGACCAACAAAATCTTGCATTATGGGACAGAAGCTAGTAACCAACAGGCTTTTCTTATTCCATCAGAATCATTTTCTTTGATGAAGTATGATATAATTTTACCTATAATCTATTTATATTTTTTAAAACTTAAAAAAACAACCAACCAACAATAAACATGTGAAGAACTTCAAAAATGCAAAGTGCCTCAACACAGAACTTTGAAGCTCAAGATAATTAACCTCCTACTTACGGTCAAGTAAAATAATTTTCCTAGGGGATCTTTTGATTTACAACGCATCTAAAATGAGACTCAGGAGGAAAGAAAGTAAAAGAAGGGTAATCACATTGTATACTACCAAGACATAACTTTAATCTGTGAAATTAATGTTCATAAGTTTCAAAGAAAAAACCAAAGACTAGCTTATCTAACTCACATCAATATTCATCTATTAGAAACTAAAATGACAGCATTAATTTGTTTCAAACAAACCAGCACTGAATTATGTTAAAAAGAACAGTTAAAATTTTAAACAGTTTTAGAGAGGCACTACAGCAATGTATGGTTAAAAATATATGCCTTGGAGTCAGACCTGGATACAAATCTTAGCTTTTCTGAGCTACTTTTCTTATCTAACTTTATCTTTAGCTTAGTTGTTTCTCTTAGCTAATTCTCTGAGGCTCAGTGTCCTCTCATGTGTAAAATGAGGTTAACAATAACTGTCATAATAAAGATGAACATTTAAAGTACTTAATATAGTGCTAGAAAAATAGCAAGTTCTCAATAACTTGTGGTTGTCGTTATTACAATTGTTATTGTTAACTATTATTATACTTAGTAGGAAATCAATTGTTTTGGAATACAATGTTACTCAATATTTAAAACAGATCATTGCTGAGAAAACTGAGGAAGTCATGACAGCTCCATGGGAATTAAACATCAATTCACAGTTTTGAGGTTCAATAATATAAGGATATTCTTAAATTAGGTATTTCTAGAAAACCTAAAGGTAAAGTTACAGGGAAAGTGTTGATGAGAATACAAACTGGTAGAACTTCTCTCAGGGAAATGTAACAGTATTTATCATAAGCACTACATACTAGTAATTCCACTTATCCTAGGGAAATCATCTCAGATAGCCACAAAAATATAACTATAGGGATGTTCAATACTATTTATAATAAATAAAAAGATTAAAGAAAAAAGTAAATGAGTCTAACAATGGGAAATACATTTAAATGTACTAATATATAAAACAATGGAATACTTTGCAGCCCGGCATGGAAAGATGTTTACAATATATTTTAAGTTAAGAAAGGAACAATGTTCTCATTTTGGCTTAACCAAATATATACACCTTAAAATTACTTAAGACTACTGAGTCTTCCAATTCATGAATACAGTGTCTCTTTAATTTGTTTCAAGTGTTTTTTAGTTTTTGGCATATATACAGCAGATGCTGTATATATTTTGTTAGATTGATACCTACGCATTTTATTATTTTTAGAGCTATTGTTAAAGTATTTTTAGAAAATCTGTTTCCCATTCCTTATTCATTGCTAGTGAACAGAAATATGATTAAATTTTGTGTATTGATTTTATGTCCTGCAGCCTTGCTAAACTTGCTTATTTATAGTAATTTACTGGTATAATAGAGTCCTTAAGACTTTCTACACAGAGAATCATGTTATCTTTAGATAGTTTTATTTCTTCCTTCCCAATGTGAACACGTTTGTATATTTTTTTTCTATTTTTACTATATTTGCTAAGATTTGTGGTACAACAGTAACTAAGAGTGGTGAGAATGAATATCCCTGCCTAGTTCCCTGTCTTAGGGAAAAGTACTCAGTTTTTCGCCTCTGAATATGAAGCCAGTGGTAGGATTTTTGTAAAGGTTTAAGTATTTCCTTTCTATTCCTAGTTTGCTGAGAGCTTTGATTACAAATGGATGTTTAATTTTTCAAGTGCTTTTTCTGCATTTACTGATATGATAACATAGTTTTTCTTAAGACTACTAATGTGGTCCAGTATATTAATTAATCTTCAAATGTTGAACTAGCCCTGCATCCTGAGGATAAATTCCACTTTGTTGTGTCATATATTATTATTACCATTATTATTGTTCTTGAGACCGAGTCTTGCTGCTCACCTACACTGCAGTGCAGTGGTGGGATCATGGCTTATTAAAGTTTTGACCTCCTGTACCCAAGTGTTCCTCCCACATCAGCCTCCTCAGTAGCTGGGACTACAGGTGCATACCACCACACCCAGCTAATTTTTAAATTTTTTGTAGAGATGGAGTCTCCCTGCGTTACCCAGGCTGGTCTCCAACTCCTCACCTAAAATGATCCTCCCGCCTTGGCCTCCCAAAGTGCTGGGATTACAGGCATAAGCCTCTGTGCTTGATCTAATGTATTATTTTTAAAATATATTGCTAGATTTGTCTTGTAGTTATGTTCCTGATAGACACTAGTTTGTAGTTTTCTTGTATTATTTTTCTATGATTTCACTAGGAGGGTAATATTACCCTCATCAAAGGAGCTAGAAATGTTCCTACTTTTCTATTTTTGAAGAGACTGAGAAAGTGGCATAATTTCTCCATTAAATGTGTGGTAGAATTTGCCAGTGAAACTATCTGGGCCTGAAGTTTTCCCTTTATGAAGGTTTTTAACTATAAATTATATTTCTTTAATAAATACAGGACTATTCAGGTTATATACTTATTCTTGAACTAGTTTTGGAAACGTGTGTCTGTCAAAAAATTGATCCATTTCATTTAAGTTGTCATATTTATGTGCATAGAGTGGTTTGTAGTAGTCCCTTATTACAATGTTGATGTCCATGGAGTCAGTGGTGATACTGCCTCTTTCTTTCCTGGTATAAAAAATTTTTCACATCTCTCTCTCTTTTTTTTTTGCTTTGTCAATCTTGCTAGAAGTTTATCAGTTTTAATGATATTTTGAAGAACTGGACCTTGGTTTCATTGATTTTCTCTATTATTTTTCTGATTTCAATTTCATTTACTTCTGTTCTTTATTTATTCCTTGATTTTGCTTATAAGGATTTGGATTAATTTTGTTTCTCTGGTTTCATTTTTTTTTTTTTTTGAGGCAGAGTCTCACTCTGTTGCCCAGGCTAGAGTGCAGTGGCACAGTCTCACTGCAACCTTTGCCTCCCAGTTCAAGCGATCCTCCTGCCTCAGCCCACCTAGTAGCTGGGATTACAGGCACGCACCACCATGCCCACCTAATTTTTGTATTTTTAGTAGAGACGGGGTTTTGCCATGTTGGCCAGGCTGGTCTCGAACTCCTGATCTCAGGTGATTCACCTGCCTTGGCCTCCCAAAAGTGCTAGGATTACAGGTGTGAGCCACCACGCCCACCCATTTCTCTAGTTTCTTAAGGTAGAAACTTAAAATTTGATGCCTTTCTTCTTTTCTAATATAAACATTATGTCATGCAAATTTCCCTCTAAGTGACGGTATGTATCCAGCCTCCTTAGAGGGATCTGTTAATGTACTATCAGCTTAATAAACTTTTTACATAATCACTATATATAGAACATTTTCCTATTAATTGACCTTGTTACTGATTAGCTGTTTTTCTTCTAATCCTAAGATAATTTTTAGACAAATAATAGAAATACTGCTTGTTTTAAAATTTGGGCCCTGTATTACTCTTATTCAATATTAAATGCCTAAAATCAACATGAAGAGCCAGATATTAAAACATTTACTTTTTACCTGAAATTTGAGCTTGCTTTCCCCTCCTTCCCGGTCTCGTTTATGCATATTTACCATTAAAGCTTCATAACAATCCTTCCAATAAAGTGCCATGTTCTCATGACCATCGTAAAATGTATGAGTTTCATACTGCTTCATATAAGGTACAATCTTACCAAAAAAAAAGATACATAAATTTAATATATGACTTCACCTGTATAAAAGTGGTAAATTAGCAGAAAAATCTTGATCAAAAAAGACAAAACTTACATATTTTTCAATGTAAACTTGCCATTCATTTGAATTACAATATTCTTGAAAATCTTCAAAAAATGAGGAGCTACCATTGGTAAAAGGTAAAGAAGGGAGGTGCAAGTTCATGAAGAGAAGTTCATAAATTTTGGAAACCAGGGTACGAACAAGGGGAATCAGGAACGAGTAGATTTCAGTCTGTTCCTTGATTGATTGACTTAGAACATGTTCCAGCTTCCCTAAAATGTAACACGCTTCATCCTGATTTTCAATCACTTTGGTCTGAAGAAGGGTATTTAGCTTAGCTGATGCCATTGCACAAACCTGGAGGAAAATAGTTGAGATGAGAAAGAGCAGACTAAAGCAAACATTTAGTGATAGCAAACATTTAGTGATAGCAAACATTTAGTGATAGCACAAGTTCTGCCTGGCCCTGTGGATTCAGAATTTTTATATAATAACTCTCAAGAACTGTGAAAGGTCTCATGTTACCTTGCCTCCAAGCTAAAGAGTTAGCTGCTATAGTTTCACAGGTGTTGGCAGAAGACACAAGACTCCTAAGTCAGAGACAAAGATCTACAGCAATAGCAGTAGCCAGAGTATCAGCATTTGCATTGTTCTCCCAAAGTGCAACTCCCACAGTGAGAGATGAAGAGGCCTAGATGATGCCTGCACATGTAGATACATTTTAGGAGAAACCACCAGTATAAAGGGAATCCAAATTTTTTTTTTTTTTTGAGACAGAGTCTTGCACTGTTGTCCGGGCTGGAGTGCAATGGTGCAATCTTGGCTCACAGCAACCTCTGCCTCCTGGGTTCAAGCGATTCTCCTGCCTCAGCCTCCCGAGTAGCTGGGATTATGGGCGCCCACTACCATGCCTGGCTAATTTTTTTGTATTTTTAGTAGAGACAGGGTTTCACTATGTTGGCCAGGGTTTAACTATGTTGGCCAAGATACATTTCACTATCTTGAACTCTTGACCTCGTGATCCACCCGCCTTGGCCTCCCAAAGTGCTGGGATTACAGGTGTGAGCCACTATGCCCAGCCTCATAAGCCAATACTTAATTCTACTCTTGTAGAATTTTGATGAAGTTTTGCTCTTGTTGCCAAGGCTGGAGTGCAATGGCGTGATCTCGGCTCACCACAACCTCTGCCTCCCGGGTTCAAGCAATTCTCCTGCCTCAGTATCCCGAATAGCTGGAATTATAGACATGTGCCACCACGCCCGGCTAACTTTTTTGTATTTTTAGTAGAGACAGGGGTTTCTCCATGTTGGTCAGGCTGGTCTCAAACTTCCAACCTCAGGTGATCCGCCCGCCTCGGCCTCCCAAAGTACTGGGATTACAGGCATAAGCCACCGCGCCCAGCTGCTTTTGTGTATTTTCTACAATGAGTATGTGTTACTTTTACAAAGAAAGATAAATAAAATAAATATAAAAAAAAAAATAAAATAAATATCTATTAAAAAATAGAATTACTTCTCTGCAGCATTCACAATAATATAAATAAATAAAAATAAAAAATAGAATCATCAGACTATACTCTTTTAAAAATAGAGTGACTGGGGGCAGTGGCTCACACCTGTAATTCCAGCACTTTGGGAGACCAAGGTGAACAGATCACATGAGGTCAGGAGTTTGAGACCAGCATGTCAAACATGATGAAACTCCGTCTCTACTAAAAACACACAAAAATTTGCCAGGCATGGTGGCAGGCACCTGTAGTCCCAGCTACTTTGGAGGCTGAGGCACAACGATCGCTTGAACCTGGGAGGTGGAAGTTACAGTGAGCCGAGAGCCACTGCATTCCAGCCTGGGAGACACAGAGAGACTCTGTCTCAAAAAAAAAAAAAAAAGGTGGGCGGGGGGGCAACCTGTTTTCAGAATTTTAACCTCTCCATGTTCTTATTAATGTTATATCTAGTTTATGTAAATCAGAAGCCAGCCCCATCCCAACCTCCCTGCACCAAATACAAAAATGGAAACATCAAAATAAAATAAAAAGGGCCAGGTAAATAGCTGTGAAACAGGTAAATAGCTGTGAAATTCTTAACATGACTAATTTAACCCAGGTTCTCACAAGTACCCCATGTAAGTAGAAAACTGACAGACTAAAATTCACATCAAACTTTTTCAGCCTTTTCCATTTTAAATTTAAAATAGAAATAATAAATATTCCTTGTGACCAATACTTATCTTTATTTCTAAAACCTAGCACAAAGCTTAGTTCTTTGTAGATATTTAGTGTGTGATAAATAAAAAAAATATGAGATAGAATGTAAAATTGTAAATTAGTAAAACAGCAGAAAAAATTTGAAAGGAATAATTTAAAAAATAATTTTTCTAAAAAATTCAAGCCCTAAACCGCACATACATAAACAGTCTATATAGGCTACTTAGCACCTGAGTAGTTACATTGAATACAGATGATACAAGCAATGCTTCTAATACTAGCTATGTATAAATCCTGTAAAAGGAAGCATTAAAATTATATAAAGTTATTAATATGAGAAAGAAATAACAAATTAGTTGCCTCTCAAGCTCCTCAAAACTCCAAATGAAATAATGGATACTTTTAGAACTACTGAAAAACTTAAAACACCAAAAAGACATTTTAATTTGCTTGTTACATAAATAATAGCTATGCTGCAAGCAAGCACAGAAAATGATATAAAAGAATGGACAAACCTGCAAATTACCCCTTCCAATGAATCCTAGAAGCAACTGGATCTGAATTTGAGACAGTTTTACCCATACTGGACTTTCAGAATAGCAGACTGACAGACAGTCAAAGAGCAGCATCAAATCCTCTAAAAGCTATCGCAAAGGAAAAAAATTGAGAAATAAAAACATTCAGTTTTTCAATTTACTGATGATCAATTTTCCCCAACATTAATACAAACCACAAATATTTCAAAAACTAGTCCAGTGTTCAGCTGACAAAAGCCAAAAGAATCATCCTAGTAATAGCTAACAAAATCTGTGAGTATTCATCACATCTTACCCTTGTTTATTGAATCTGATTAAGCATTAATGCTCTAAAAAGGGGGGGGGTGCAAAATTTTTCTCTGAATAAAGTTCTTAACTACCCAAAATATAATTTTAGAGAGATATTACTGTACCTTCTCAGTCCACATGTTTGAATTAACTAGTCCCTCTGACTGAAGAAAGTCCTGTATGATCAGCATTAGTCGGAAGGCATTTTCAGCAGTTACTGGATTAGTTTTTGCTTCTCTGTTTTCTGAGACTGCCCATTCTAACATCTTTTGGAGCAAACTAAATGGAAAACAAAGTCCTCTTAAAACCATTGTGAGCTTAGAAAAATAGTAGGACATTAAAAACAAAACAAAACAGCTTGAGAGGCAGCATTGTATCTCTAAAGATATACTATCTCTAGCAGGTATCCCTAAGACATTGTAAACAGAAATTGTTTTTTTTTTTTTTTTTGAGACGGAGTTTCACTCTTGTTGCCCAGGCCGGAGTGCAATGGCGTGATCTTGGCTCACTGCAACCTCTGCCTCCTGGGTTCAGGTGATTCTCCTGCCTCAGCCTCCCGAGAAGCTGGGATTACAGGCATGTGCCACCATGCCCGACTAATTTTTGTATTTTTAGTAGAGACGGGATTTTGCCATGTTGGACAGGCTGGTCTTGAACTCCTGACCTCAGGTGATCCGCCTGCCTCAGCCTCCCAAAGTGCTGGGATTACAGGCATGAGCCACCATGCCAGGCCTATAAATGGAATTTAACAATAATGGAGAAACGTTGAAATGTTTGGAGTATTTATCTTTAATAAACATAGTATTAAAAGTCAAAAGTTTACTGTTTTACTTGACTATAAAAAAGCTATAACAATAATTCACATTCCATCCTTCATGAGATACTTAAATTGTTTCTTTAAAGTGGAAATCGGCAAGGTTAGGGAAGAATGCCTTATTATGCCTTACAGAGGGTCTTGCCCTGTGGGAAAAAGATGCAATACTTCCCTGGTGTGCTACCACTACAGAGTCCTATTATCTACAGCACGGGTGTCCAATCTTTTGTCTTCCCTGAACCACACTGGAAGAAGGATTGTCTTGGGCCACACATAAAATACACCAATAATATTTTAACGATATGTTTTAACAATAGCTGATGAGCTTAAAAAAAAATCACAAAAAAAACTCATAATGTTTTAAGAAAGTTTAAGAATTTGTGTTGGGCCACATTCAAAGCCATCCTGGGCTGCATATGGCCTGCAACCTGTGGGTTGGACAAACTTGATCTACAAGGAACCCTAAATCCTTCAGAGAAATAACTATCATGAAAACCCAACTCCCTTCTCTTAGCACGGAAACACTCAAATTTGGACAAGCCTGCAGAAAACAATGTATCAAGTCCTCAAATACTGCAAGAAAACAGTTTAAACAAAAAATCTGTAATCACTTACGATCCAAATTTACTTAAGACTTAAACCTCCTCATATTGGAATGAGTTTGGGATTCCTCTTTAGATCCTACTAGTATGGCAAAAGACAGGAGAAGGAACTGAGCACAGAGTTTCTCTTTTTCTCCCTTGTTATATCCACGGAATACTGAATAAATGTTCAATAACTAACATTATTTTAGACTCCTGCTGTCACTAAAAGGAGGATGGAAAATCACTAACTAAATGCTTACGTTAGTTTTATTTCATCTGATGGTCGAAGTAGTTCACTGGATATTCCTGGTTTACTCAGTGCTGAAAACACTTGTCCTCGTTCAATCCACGTATCATCATCAGACTTCTCTAGTCCCTTACACATTACGTAATTCAAAATATGTGTCAGTAATTGAAGAAGCTCCTCCTCACATCTCTATGGAAAATATAAAGCAATTTTAAATAACTAGAGGGTATAGTTGTTCAAAGCACATCATAAGAACCATTACATATACTAATTGTAATAATTTAACGTATTTTTTAAGTGCCTTAATAAACCTGGAACTTTACTAGGCTCTAGAGATATAAGATGAGTAAGACACCAGCTTTGCTCTCAAAAAACTCACAATCCAGTGACTTCTAGGTTTCTAAACCTTAGATCATGAAACTTAGAACATGAATATAATATGAAATTGTTAACAACTGCTCACATATTTCTAAGGATTAGAAGTATATATCAGACATGAAAATAAAAACAACACTTGGAAAAATAAGCAATTTTACCTCTTGGCTTTCAAGTAAAGAGAAGTCATCACTAAAGCCCATATCATTTGTGATGCTGCTTTCTTTGTCAGAGTGCACAGAAAACGATTTAGTAGACTCTACTGGGGATGGTGTGCTAGGCAGACTGTCTGGCACTTGACTTCCACTATCACTCATTTCACATGAGTCAATTCCACTGAGGTCTAAACTCAAATGTGAAGGGTTCCTATGCCAGAATTCTTCTTGATTCTCTGATTTGAAAGACAATTCTCCCACAGAGCTATCTTCTGGAAATAATGGTGTGTTTGAGTCTAAAGAGTGTCTATCCTCCAAACTCCACTGATCTGAAGACACATTAACTGAGGCAAAAGAGGTGATTTTTTCCTCATCTGTTTTTTCATCAAAGTTCTTCTTAGTATCTTCAGTTGACATATTTTTATCATTGTCTTTCATTAAAATAGTTCTACTGTGCTTATGAAGAGTATTTCCGTTTTCAAATTTTGCTTTTAAAAAAAGCCTAACTAAGGTGTCTTGCCAACCAACTTGTTGTGATATTTGATGTGCTGCATCTGGCTGGGACTGCAAAATGTGTAAAACCTGTAAAAAGATTAAGAATACAAAATTCTTCAAAAAGTACATAGCACTTTATATCAAAAATAGTCTCTTTTCAGTTATTTAATGATAAAGTAATTTAATGAGAAACTATAGAAGAATATATTTTCAAAAGATTATATTCTTAGATTATAAACTATTTGGAAGACTGGCATTGTGTTTCCAACTAATCTCCATATTACTCATTGTACAGAGTAAGAGTGCACTAAAATATTTGCTGAAAGATTAAAAAGGAATATTAAAATGAATAGGATGATGGTATATATTAAATAATAGAGTAATATCCTCTTAACTAACTACTTTCCATGAGCCCCCTACATTTGTTCAGGAAATATTACTACATACCTACTATAGGCACAGTTTTAGGCACTAGTATTAGGGGAGTGAATAGGACACATAAGACATTTTGATAGAACCTGAGTACACCAAGGATGTTTTTTTGTCTCGTTTTTTTCAGTTTTGAGACAGGGTCTTGCTCTGTCACCCAGGCTAGAGTGCAGTGGTATAATCTTGGTTCACTGCAACCTCTGCCTCCTAGGTTCATGCAACTCTCCTGCCTCAGCCTCCTGAGTAGCTGGGACTATAGGCACATACCACCACGCCTGGCTAATTTTTGTATTTTTAGTAGAGACGGGGTTTCACCATGTTGGCCAGGCTGGTCTCGAACTCCTGACCTCCCGTGATCCACCTGCCTCGGCCTCCCAAAGTGCTGGGATTACAGGAATGAGCCATGGTTGCTTTTGCAAAAAGGTTTTTGTTCGATATGTCTACACTAAAGTCTACGTTGTTCAGTAAGTCTATATTATACAAACAGAACAAAAACTAAACTTTAATTTCAGAAAATGAACTTCAGCAAGATGGATGCCACTGCTTAGCCAGAATAGTAAACAGTGACATGGGAATATGTATGATCTCTACTATCCAATTGATTTCAATTTTTAGATAAAAACAAGTTCTTAAAAAGCTTTAGACATTCAGTTAAGATCTTTTAAGACAATTTTATCACAAAGCCAATAAACTTCTATATAGATGAAAAGAACTGTAGCTTCCAGGGTTTTGAGTATCTTTCTTAACAGAAGTTTTAGCTCTGACAAATTTCAAAGCAAGAGTTGAACAATGTTGGTAAGGACTTCAATATTACTAGTATTAATATGTGTTAATACAGAAGACAAGGAGTCACAATGACGTGAAGATTCTTTATTAATGCAATACCAATCAGTGAGCAACTGTTACTTTACAGGTGCAGAATACCAATTTTTTTCCTTCAAGATTAAGCTTTACTCGGCAAAGAAACTTTTCATGCTGACTTTAAAGTTTCCATAAAATATTACTTATTTTATATCTATTTTATACATAAATAATAGATAAAACCAAGCTGCACTGAGAGCTGTTTCTAATTATATGTGAAAAGGAAAGGATCAATTTATATGACCTGCTCCAAATACTCAGAGCTGAGTACATGGGGAAATAATCACTGTCACACACACTGTATAAATGTAAACTGGTACAGCTATTTTGAAGGACAATGTGGAAAAATCCATCAAAATGTAAAACATTAATACCCTTTGAAACAGCAAGTCTATTTCATGGAGTATGTCCTACAGATGTATTACCACAAATTGGAAAACATAAAAAGACATTCATAACAGCAGTTTATAACATGGAAAAGCAGGAAACAACCTAAATGTCTATCAATAAGGAACCAGATAATACTTTATGAAACAGCTATACAATGAAACACTACGCAGCCATTAAAGAGAAAAGGAAATTATACATATTATATATATAAAACAAATATATATATATTTTCTTTTCTGTTAAACTATATATGTGTGTGTATACATGTGTGTGTGTATATATATATAAACTATATATATAGAAAGATCTCTTATTCTCACATATATATATCTCTCTCTCTCTCTCTCATAAGTATGTGACAAAATCAGGAGGTAAAATTTTTAAAAAAAGCAAGGAAGCAAATTAAATAGACAGGTCAATGGTTACTAGTGGAGGACAGAGAAAGTTATGATCTGAAAGGGGAAGACAGGATAACTATCTCTTGACTTAGTTAAAGGTTAACTGTGTACTGAAGACAAATCATTGTTGGAATACTCATAAACAAATTATAGAAAATTATTTCCAGAAAGTTCAAAAGATTCAGAAACTCTAAAATACGGTATATGAATTAGAAATGGTCACAATCATTGAAGGTTCTTAATAAAAAAATTATTCTCTGGTAATAAATTTTTGACTCTGGAAAGAACATATTTGCAGGAGACCACGAAGAGCTAAGAAAACATTTGCATGCTAATTTCTTATGATTACATGAAGTTAATTTACTTCAAAAAGAAAATTGTTTACTTATAAAATTATGTCATTTATAAAATAAATGAAAACTTGTATCTGCTGCAAAATACTCAATGCAAAGTTATTTATAGCGTGATCATGATGCTGCTATCGTTAAAATATATCTTAAGAGTTTACTGACCTTTCTGCAGATGGCCACTCTAACATTTATATGTGCTTTGTGAGATATATATACCACAGATAGTAGATCTTTAAAATTAATAACAGGATCTATGGTAGGAAAAACAAAAAGTTAAAATTAAATACGAGAGATAACTAAAGAAAGAACTGTAGATAATACTTATATAAAATGCTGAAATAATTAATTCATTTTAAAATATGAATTATAGGTATGTTCAAATTTTGAAGAAAAAATAGGTTTAGAATGTTTGACATCCTCCTGAGTCAACCCTAAATAATTGTTCCTTTTTTTTTGATTGCTTGAACATATGGTCCATACTGCATGGCTCTTATATTATTATTTATCTTTTTATATACATGTCTTATCAACAAGATTGTAAACTAATCAAGACAAAGAACCTCATATCCCCAAATTCCCAGCACCTGACATAAATTCTACTATCTGTCATCAACTACTGAAAAAAATTATTAAAAAAAATTAGAAGCAGGGCATGGTGGCACATGCCTGTAGTCCCAGCTCCTTGGAAGGCTGAGGTGGGAGGATCAGTTGCATCCAGTATGAGGCTACAGTGAGCTATGATCACACCTGTGACTAGCCACTGCACACCAACCTGGTCAATACATCAAGACTCTGTTTCTAAAAAGAAAAATCAAAAAACCAAAACAGAACAAACAAAACAAACAATAAAGCTCCTTAAAGAAGAAACAATCATTTGTACATATTTTCTGTACTGTCCTTTTCTTGTTCTGTGGACTCACTCACTAACTTAATCACTCAGTCAATAAACATTTACTGGGTAAGGAACTGTGCTATGCCCTGGGGAGACAAAAACAATAAAACTACATAAGACATGGTATCCAAGGAAGGCCCTGCTGAATCAAATAACAGATAATTTTAAAAGTAGCCTGAGAAAGGTATGAAAAAAACTTACAGGAAAAAATATTTCTTAAATATGTTAGCTTTATCAGCCTTATTCATACCTGTATTTATGATTTGATGGGTGAGGTTTTTAATAAGAGAAGTATTAATAAGTGCTTCATTAAGAAGGAGTCCCAGTCCTGAGTAGCCAACTTCTCTGAGTCGAATATGTTGTTTACTACGCTCATAAACATTCGTGCATTTCAACATTTGTTCCATAATCTGGTCACAACAAGTAATATATTCTCAATATAGAAAACTAAGAATAATTTGTCATTTAAGTTAACATTAACAATGTTAACTTATTAACATTAAATATTAATGTTAGTATTTATTAGCATTAATATTTAATGTTAATAAGTATTGCTATTAACGTATAGCAATATTAACTTACAGAATAAAATAATGCTATTAACTTATAGAATAAAATATTGCTATACTTTGTTTTTGGAGCATCATTTTATTCCTTAAGTATAAAAATCCCAGCATTAACCCATTTATGCCGGAGGGTGCAATTTTTTGAATTGCAGACGTGTGAAAAATCAGACCTTCATGATGACCTTCAGAAGTGGGATATAAATAACTCCCACATACTTAATGGAACACTAGGCATAAATGAATTTAATAGGGAGGAGCACTCCGTATTACACCATAATGTAAAAATGGATTTAAGAACAAACTGGGCCAGGTACAGTGGCTCATGCCTGTAATCCCAGCACTTTGGGAGGCCTAGGCAGGTGGATCACCTGAGGTCAGGAGTTCGAGACCAGCCTGGCCAACATAGTGAAACCCCATCTCTACTAAAAATACAAAAATTAGCCATGTGTGGTGATGCGTGCCTGTAATCCCAGCTACTTGGGAGACTGAGGCAGGAGAATTGCTTGTACCTGGAAGCTGGAGGTTGCAGTGAGCCAAGATTATACCACTGCACTCCAGCCTAGGTGACAGAGCGAGACTCCATCTCAAAAAAATAAGCAATTTTAAAAAAATAAACTGGACTGAAATGCATCTGTATTTGAATAATCGATATGCTTAAGACTCTAGTTTAATTACGTGGCAAATTAAAGAGAAATAATTTAAAATTTTGTTTCTTAATGAGAAAGGCTTAGATGGAAACAAACCATGTAGTTTGCAAGAATAAATGTGTGTCAATACACCTCTGGATCAATCTAATAATCCACTTAAGTAACAGTTATTAAAATTAAAATAATTTTCAAGGATAAGTAAACATTTGTGAAGCAACTCATCTATATATTTTGTAAGTTACTGATCTCTCTGGACTTAGTTTCTTCATCTGTAAAATGATAATAGTAATAATACCCACTTCATAAAGTTATTGCAAGATTAAGTAAGCCAATATATGAAAAGTACTTAGTGCCTGACATACAGTGGTTGCTACATAAAGTTTGCTATTATTATTAGCTGTTGAAATGTTCTGAATTGCCACATAGACCCACCAAGTCAAGAAGATGAGAGGTTTTATATTGAGGATGGTATGACAAAGTGAATATTCCACTGAGATGATTTTCAGATTATAATACAATTAGTTTTCTAACATGCAAACTACTGAAACATGAAAACTATATATAAAAATAAGTTGAATATCTTAGAGAAATAGATATAAAAATAATTTATAGTCACAGAATGGATATATTGCAAGAAAATTCATATACCCACAAATGCCCCAAAATACAAAGATGTTTAAGAAATGTTTGTACCTTAAAAATGATTTCTCTTAGTCTGTCAGAGTACTTCTGATTTAAGAGCAATGCATACAGTATGTCAGCATTTCCTGGTTCAAAGAGCAGTAAGAAAAGCTGACCTCTAGTTGGGCTGGTACGTAGGAGACTGAAGAGCACATCCAAAATTCCAAAGAGCTTTTAAAATTAAACAACACAAAACAAACCACCACATTCATATATACAAGCACAAATAAGGTCACAAGCCACAAAATAGTTATTTAATTAAATCCTATATACTTTAATGTTTTATCTTAACTTCACCATATGTGATAACGATGTCTTTTTTTTTTTTTTTTTTTTTAAATTATTTTGAGACAGAATCTCCCTCTGTCGCCCAGGCTGGAGTGCAGTGGCGTGATCACAGCTTACTGCAGCCTCGACTTCCCAGGCTCAGTGATTCTCCCACCTCAGCCTCCCAGGTAGCTGGTACTACAGGTGTGCACCACCATGCCTAGCTGATTTTCTGTATTTTTGGTAGAAATGGGGTTTTGTCATGTTGCCCAGGCTAGTCTCAAACTCCTGGGCTCAAGTGATCCACCCAGCTCACTGCACCTGGCCTCTGATATCTTTTGAACCAGACATGCTTTTGCCTTATTCAATTTCCTTTAGTATATCCTTTCACTATTCAAATTTACCTGTTGGAACCATATCTATCCTGCTTTATCCATATGAAAAGACATCTCCTCCATAAAGTCTTTCCTGGTCTTTGCAACATGTAACACCCTCTTAGGAAAACCTCATAGAACTTTATTGTATCTCTCTTATAGATATTATCATACTCTTCTTTGTTTATAGTTATTTGTAAACTTCTCTTATTGACCCCTGCCCCATTAGCTTAAAATAATAATAATTCATCATTATATTACCTGTAATGTCTAATATTACTGTGTGTAAACAGTAAGTCCTCAACAAATAACTCTTTAACAGAAATAACCAAAAAAATATTGTTGGCAATGAATCATAGATATAGCTATCATGAAATAAGATGGGAATAATGGGAAGCTTTTGAAGTGGTCCAATCTTATAGGAAAATAGCCTGCATTAACTCATCTAATGCCGATAATGAAGTCATGTAACCACTGAGTACACAATAAATATTACATATACAGGGCAAAACAGCCTAGTCAACATAAATCTACTTAAATTTGTGGTATTGAGGAGGTTATACCAGAACAGCACAAAAATGGCACTAAAATATTTTTTACCATTTAGGTTCCAGCTTCAGGTTTATCAGTTGTGTGACTTTTTAAGTCACATAATCTCCCTGAATATAAATTTCCAAAAGCATACATGCAAAAAGTAATTCCTGGTCTGTATTATGTTATAGCAGTGGTTCTCAAATTTTACCATGTGCACGAGAATAATCTGGAGGGCTTGGTTCAGCAGTTGAATTAGCAGTATATCTGCATTTCTAACAAGTTCTCAGGTAAAGTTGGTTAGGGGCCAAACAATGAAAACCACTGACTTAAAGAGTAGTTCTGAGGATTAAATGGGATAATGTATGTAAAACTAGACACACATTTATAATTTACTCTTTACATAACATTTTATGAACCTAGGTTATGTTAGAAGTCTACCCACTAATGGCTGGGCATGGTGGCTCATGCCTGTAATCCCAGCATGTTGGGAGGCCGAGGAGGGCAGATCATGAGGTCAAGAGATTGAGATGATCCTGGCTAACATGGTGAAACCCCGTCTGTAGTAAAAATACAAAAATTAGCTGGATGTGGCGGTGCACGCCTGCAGTCCCAGCTACTTGGGAGGCTGAGGCAGGAGATTCGCTTGAACCCAGGAGGCGGAGGTTGCAGTGAGCCAAGATCGTGTCACTGCACTCCAGCCTGGTGACAGAGCAAGACTGTCTCAAAACAAAAACAAAAACAAAAAAAGAAATAAATCTACCTGGTAACTTTGATGATAACTTTGATGATAGGTAAACATACATCATGTGGACTATGAAAACAGGCTTCAGAATTGCCAGACAAAGCAACCATTTCCATATTTTAAATTTTCTAGCTAACTGGAATATTAAATTACACTGTCATCTATTTTACGAAAAATTCAGTTAGTAGATAAAATTTACTTCTGGCCTGGCGTGGTGGCTCATGCCTGTAATCCCAGCACTTTGGGAGGCCTAGGTGGGTGGACCATTTGAGGTCAGGAGTTCAAGATCAGCCTGACCAATATGGTGAAACCCCGTCTTTACTGAGAAAAAAAAAGCAAAAAATTAGCTCAGTGTGGTGGTGCACACCTATAATGTCAGCTACTCAGGGGGCTGAGACAGGAGAATCACTTCTCCTTCTGGGAGATGGAGGTTGCAGTGAGTTGAGATCGTGCCACTGCACTCCAGCCTGACTGACAGAGCGAGACTCCATCTTAAAAAAAAAAAAAAAAAAAAGATAAAATGTACTTAAGTACCTAATATTGCATGTGACACTACACATAGTTTACTCTCAAAATATTTAACTAGACACATACATACGTTCAGAAGATGATGTAGCAACTCAAATGTTTAAGGAAAAGTAGATTTATCTTAGGCATAATACCTGTTCTTCTTCATTAGTAGCAGCTATGTACCCCATAATACTTTGTATCTCTTCATGAGATCCACCTTTGCACAGAAAATATTTAATTAGTCCATACAAAGAAGTCCTTATTGTTCGAATGTCATCTAGAGATAACTCATTATATTTACAACCATTCCTGAAAGAGAAAACAAGGTATAAAAATTGAAATTTTAATTTTTACATTTCCTTCTTTTTGAGATGGAGTGTCACTCTGTCGCCCAGACTGGAGTGCAGTGGCGTGATCTCGGCTCACTGTAACCTCCACCTTCTGGGTTCAAGCAATTCTCCTCCCTCAGCCTCCTGAGTAGCTGGCATTACAGGCATATGCCACCACACCTGGCTAATTTTTGTATTTTTAGTAGAGACGGGGTTTCAACACGTTGGCGAGGCTGGTCTCAAACTCTTGACCTTACGATCTGCCTGCCTCAGCCTCCCAAAGTGCTGGGATTATAGGTGTGAGCCACTGTGCCCAGCCTAATTTTTACATTTCTATATTTTCTATATAAAAGAATTCATAGTGTTAAAAAAATATTTCCATGTAATTCTGAGATTCATGGTAACTCTGGCTTGCTTTTCTTTTTAAGGAAAATCTTCTGAGTTAAGAGTTTCAGGGAATAAAATAGTTTATGTGAATACAACACCCACTGCATAGCAGACATAGTTTAAGTGCTTTACATTATTAACTAATTAATTTAATCCTCAAAACAACCAAAGGCGGTAACAATTTTCTTACCTCCTATCAAAAATGAAGAAACTCAAGCACAGAGAAGTTGAGTAATTTGCCTACAGTTGCACAATTAATGAAAGCCAGATTCAAACCCTGTGTAGCGATCTACTATTCATTTAACCTCCACTCTATCCTACCTCTCTCCAGTTAAAACATACTAGAATCGCTGGTAAAGAGAAAGTCTACAGTCTACACATTCCATCAAGTAGCAGAAAGAAAACAATATATCAAAGTGAGAAGGAACAAGGGCATCATACCCATAATAAATCCTAAGTGTATCTAGGAGAAACTGCACACCATACTTCTTTCGGAAAACTCTCCTGCTGTCTTTAATGATGGTTGAAAGATACTGTATGTGACCTAAAACAGAAAGTTCAATGGTAAGTAATTCAGCTAAAACAAAGTCAATAGGTAGTTATAAATTTCTAAAACAACTATAAAGTTTTTATCTGAAAGCCTGCTCTTACCAATTCGAAAGGGAAAATCTCCATGGTTCCAAATACGGAAGTCAAAGAGTAAATATTGATACATTTGTTGCAGGAGCTGCGTATTTTTCTCTAATGATACTTGTTCAATTAGTAACTGAACTGCCATCAATACATTAACATCCATCAAGGTGCTTGGCACCTGAAATCAAACAGAAGAGGGTTTCATATAGTTCAGTTTAAATAACTGTCATTAAGCTATAATTTTAAATCATTAATTCAGAACATCTACTAAGCATACAAATAGAAAAACCCACATTAGAAAAACAAAAACTTAAGTATTGGTTTTTCTGATATTACACCACAGTATATTCTCCTACTGTCATATTCCTAAAATAGTCTTATATTTCTCAATATCCCAAATACCAAAGCTATCAAACAAGGTTGTATACATCAAAGATCATACACTATTACATAAAATAAGTATTTCTTATATAAGATGATTTCATGCAAGTTTTTAAAAGCTGCCTGTGAAACAAATTATATCCATTAATAAAACCCAGGTTGTAATAATCCTTAAAAATATATTGATTAGGAAGAAAAAAAATCCCAACATCAACTGCAAATCACAATCATTAGTTACATCAACACAACGTTAGACTGGCTCACCTTCTGAAGTAAAGTACCAAGAGTTGCAACTCCATGGGAGTGAATAAGATTGTCCTGATTGATAGGATGTCTCTGAATAAAATGTTTCACAATCAAGATAAATGTTGCAACTAGGTTTCTCTCTAGTCTTGACTCTGTGGAATCAGGAACATATTAATTATCATAATTACTCTAATCATTTTTATATCACATTTTCTATATCTTAGTGCACACTGTTATACAAAGTAGAAATCTGGTTCAGCAGTCAGCTTCCAACGCTCTATTGTACAATAGAATCAGAAAAAGCAGCAACTGCAATATTGTATATTTATGTGCACATATTTTCTCTACCACAAATTTAACAATGTGGTCATATTTCCACTAAGAGTATAAGCTAAGGATACTGGAGATCAGTCTGCAGTTTTCTGATGAAAGTATTATAAACTTTCTGAATGATATTAGTAAAAGTAGGAACAGCTGCTACAGCTACAAATGGTTAAGTTTCTTCCAAATGACAGTAAAACATTTTCATCTATTTCTCAATTAACTTTCAAATTTCTCAATGACTATTTTGTGTTAATTTCATCTTAATACCTGAGGCCTTTGTGGAAGTCAATACGAGCCAATCTCCTTCAACAGGTGTTATTGATTCAGGAACGGTGCTTTCATTCTTTTCTTCAGGAATCTGTCCTTCACTAAAGTGGCTGATTTGTTCCAATAAAGGAAAGAGTACATTTAACCCGCCTATGCAGTTTATGATATCCTAAAGGGAAAATTATAATGTTTAAATCTTATAAAACAAGGACAATTTTGTCATTTAATATCTTCACATGTATGAAGTTATAATTTGCTAGATAAACCTTTAAGCAATGTGTAGGATAACACAAGCTGAAGAAAGTTTTGGGTAGGAAGATGCTTTACAGGGCACCGTCAAGGGTCACCACAATCAATGCTCAAGAGAAATCAGGCCAGATCATTTTTACTCCATCTTTGTTTTCCAAAGTTTAGGGATTTTGAACATAGGCAAATAAAACAGCCCCATAAGTGGACTTTATAATGTAACTCCAACAATGGAAAAACAACTGTCACTAGGCAATTAGGCATAATAAACAAGAGAAAAAATAATGAAAAAAAAATGCACCTGGTGGTAGAAATATGACTGACTCCTCAACTTTTAGTTTACAAAAAGGTAGAGAGGGTATTTCAGCCAAAGTTCAAAGTTTGGTTATTTTGGCTTAATAAAATATTTTCTATATCTTTTGATAAGTTACTAATATCACTGGCCTCAGTTCTTCATCTGTAAAATGGGGATAATAATAACACCTACTTCATAAAGTATTGCAAGGATTAAGTAAGCTAACATATAAAAGGTGCAGTGTCTGACATACAGTCGATACCATACGAGGTTTGCTCTTATTATTAATTATTAAAGTGTTCTGAATTGCCATTTGGATACAAGTTAAGTCTTCAAACAAGCTCTTCATATTCTTTGTTTTCTTAGAAATAAATTTTATTGTGTATATTTCAGTTTACAACATAATGTTGTAGGACACACATAGATAATAAAATGGTTGCTATAGTGAAGCAGATTAACATTTCTATCATCTCACATAGTTACTTTGTGACAAGAGCAGCTAAAATCTACTTATTTAACAAAACTCCCTAAAAAAATGTAATTTTATTAAACTATAGTCCTCAGGTTTTACATTAGATCTCTGGACTTATTCATCCTACATATCTGCTACTTTGTTGAGTTTTTCTTGTTTGTTTTTGAGACAGGGTTTCGCTCTGTCACTCAGCTGGAGTGCACTGGACTGATCACAGTTCACTGCAGTCTCGACTTCCCAGGCTCAAGTGCTCCTCTCACCTCAGCCTTCCAAGTAGCTGAGACTACAGGTATGTACCACTACACCCAGCTAAGGTGTGTATTTTTTGTACAAAGTTTTACCATGTTGCCCAGGCTGGTCTCAAACTTTTGGGCTCAAGCAATTTGCCCACCATGGCCTCCCAAAGTACTAGGATTACAGGTGTGAGCCACTGTGCCTGGCCCCATATCTTCTACTTTGTTTTGACCGTTTGTCATACCAATTTTGAAGAGCTTTTTTTATAAGTAAGTAAATTAACTTTTTGGAAGGCAAATATTATTTTACCAGTTGTCATTTCATTTAACGTTTTTGATCTTTCATTTGGCTACAGTATAAAAATACATCTTTCTCTTTGAAATTCTGTTGCTTTTTGATTTCCACATCAGCCAAAAGTCTAACTAGTTAATAATACACATAGCCGTAACTCAGGCCACAAAAAAACTGCTTTGATTTTTAGGTACATATGGCACATATAAACAGATTTCTATATATAAAATACCACATGGAATCAGCTTTGTAAAATCAGTCTTACAAGTGAAGCAAAAGTTAATTTATGAATTGTCAATCACGTCATAAATCTTACCATGGTAACAGATTTTAAAAAAGTGCTCTGGCTGGGCATGGTGGCTCACACCTGTAATCCCAGCACTTTGAGAGGCTAAGGTGGGCGGATTAACTGAGGTCAGGAGTCCAAGACTAGCCTGTCCAACATGATGAGACCCTGTCTCTACTAAAAAACATAGAAATTAGCTGGGCGTGGTGGCAGGTGCCTGTAATTCCAGCTACTTGGGAGGCTGAGGCAGGACAATCGCTTGAACCTGGGAGGCAGAGGTAGCAGTGAGCTGAGATTGCACCACCGCACTCTAGCCTGGGCGACAGAGCAAAACTCTGCCTCAAAAAAAAAAAAAAAAAAAGAACAAGAACAAGTGTCCTTATACCAAAACTAAGGAGAAAAATGCTTTATATACCATGAATAACATGAAATTAACACTAATTGATAGATTTATTTCTACACAGGCAAAATTATCTTAATGATTTCTGTTTCACTGAAAATAATAAATGTATTTGGTTGGTGTTAACTGATTAGAAAAGTTTTTTTTCCTGATTTACCAGCAAGTCCTCTTATAATTATCTTTTATTTCCCTGATTTACCAGCAAGTCCTCTTATAATTATCTTTTATATTTCTTTTATTTTACTTAGGTTATAACTTCTATTTAAAATATCATTTAAGGAAACACTATATTTAAGAATTAAGCCTCTCTCACCGTAAACAACCTTTACTAATTTAATCACTCAGTCAACACTTACTTGTTGCATAACCCTGTACCAGGAACTGGTTAAAAAAAAAAAAAAGAAAAAAGCAGTGACCCTTCCTTTAAAGTTCTTATGGACTACTAGAGCATTAACCAAGCAGTTACTATTTGCCATGGTAAGTGAAATAACAAAGTGCTAGGGATACCCGTAAGAGCAGTTTGGTCTTGGAAACTAAGTAGAGGCCTCTAGATGGAAGGAAAGTTCCAGCTGTGACATAAATATGAGGTCAACGAAAAAGGAAAATAAGATTTGAGAACTCATATAGACATGGCAAAAACATGCAAACGCCACACAGACAGTTGCCCCTGCCAGGAATTGATTTTTTTCTCACTGACTTTATAATGAACGACATTATTCAAAGACCTGCTGTAGCTTACAAAGGTAATTACATTTCAAACCAAGTCATTCAACTATGTCAGTCATTTAACTTTGCATTTGTTTATCCTTCAAATTGTATGTTTGCATAACATTTTAACTGACATCTATTATTCAGATCAATCAGGCGGTGCTTTAAAAACAAAATCTTTAATAAGAGTATCAGTAAACTCATATAATGTGTTGCCCAACATTTACTATTAATTTACCTTAATGTCCCAGTTCACTACTTTGTTTCCTGTTAATCTTCCATGTAAACAATTAGTAGATAAATCAAGACAAATTGAATTTTTGCAGGCCTAAAAATAAAAGAAAAATATGGCAAACCACCAATTAGAACAAAACATAAATTTAACCACATATAGAACATTTCACCATAATATAAAAAGGAATATAGGATAGTTAAAGATAAGATGCCCATCATATGAATTTTAGTATTGCTGTTCTCTCTTAAAAGAAAGAATTAGGGCCGGGCGTGGTGGCTCATGCCTGTAATCCCAGCACTTTGGGAGGCCGAGGCAGGGGGTATCACCTGAGGTCAGGAGTTCGAGACCAGCCTGGCTAACATGGTAAAACCCCGTCTCAACTAAAAATACAAAAACTAGCCAGTGTGGTGGTGGGCCCCTGTAATCCCAGCTACTTGGGAGGCTGAGGCAGGAGAACTGCTTGAACCCAGGAGACAGAGGTTGCAGTGAGCTGACACGGTGCCACTGCACTCCAGCCTCAGTGACAGAGTGAGACTCCGTCTTAAAAAAAAAAAAAAAAAAGACTCAGGAATTAGATTCTAAAGCACCCACTTAAGAAAAGTAGGTCACTGCTGCTTGTCATCTGACAGATGAGCTATATATAACAAGAACTTTTTCGCCAGTCACGGTTCTTTTTCTGGGAGAGTCTCGCTCTTGTCACCCAAGCTGGAGTACAGGGGTGTGATCTTGGCTCAATGCAACCTCTGCCTCCCAGATTCAAGCAATTATCCTGCCTCAGCCTCCCGAGTAGCTGAGATTACAGGGGTGTGCCACCATACCCGGCTTATTTTGTATGTTTAGTAGAGATGGGGTTTCACCATGTTGGCCAAGCTGGTCTTGAACTCCTGACCTCAGGTGATCCGCCACCTCAGCCTCCCAAAGTGCTGGGATTACAGGCATGAACCACTGAGCCCGGCCTCGCCAGTCACAGTTTTAAAATTTTCATCTTTTAAACAAATACATGAAAACAGATTTTTGGCTTTAAAAAAATTCAATATTTTATTTCCATTAGCACTTCCCTAGGCACAATTTCAAGATACACATAAAATGTGTGATTAAAATGAGAGATAAATCACAGAACAAAAAAAAATCATGATATAAAAATACAACTACAGGAATAATATACTATTTTCCCTCATGTTGCTGCCAGACAATTCTGGCTGTATTCAGAGTAAGAGCTTAGTCTGCAACTTTAGAAACAAAGTTATTTGTTAACCTCCATTTGTAAAGGCATATTAACTTCATATTCAATCCAAATTTTCAGGTAATGGAGCATCCTTGAATCTAATCTAATCCCTATTCCAAAAGAAAGTAAACCTACAAATTTTAGCGCACATGATGTAGCTACTGATTTCCTCTTTAAACAAATGAGAAAAATTGCTTTAATAAAACAAATACTTAACGTAAACATTATCCGTCTCAGAGACACACGTCTTTCTCCAGTTATTACTTTAGTCTGTAACTAAAAACTGTGTATCTATGACCTGTTTTAACACAATAATCTCCTAATGGTATGACTGCCTCTAGAATCCTACCCCTCCAATCCAACTTTCACGCTGCAGCTTAAGACCATTTCTAAAACGTGAACCTGATAATATTACTCTTCTGCTTAAAATTCTATCCATTGCCGATTATTTACTCTGACATAGGAGGTTCGCTATAATGTGACCTTGCTCTCTAGTCTCATATACTCTTGCTAAGTGCCGTATACCCAAATACATGTAGAACCCAGTTTTACAGTCTATGCCTTTTTAAGTGATATTTACTATGCATCCCTCCTCAACCTTGTCTTCTAAAACACAAATGAAACCATCTTCTTTATGATTTTCTAGCTTCCTGGAAAAACAAACCACTCCTCATTTGCACCCTCACTATTATTTTGTACATTATTCAAACAAAGAAATATTGTATATTAGCTAAGGATATAAATTAAACAGGCTGGGTTCTAACTCTAGGATTCACTAGAATTATGAGTCTAAGCAAGTTACTTACTGTGCTTCAGAAAGCTAAAGCTTAGAAAAGATAACAGATCACACCATATATCTCTCAGGGCTTTTGTGAAGATTAAGTGAAACAATACACATGGAGCACTTAGCAAAGTGCTTAACATATTGTTAACACCCCATAAATGGTAGCTAAAAAGGAAAACAAATGCTCATAAAGTTATGTTGAACTTATTTAAAAAAAAATATTTATTTTACTTTAGATTGTAAACTTCTTACAGACACTTTATTTATCTTTGTATCCTAAGGGTATAGCATAATTCTTGACACTAAGAAGACACTCAATAAGTTTTAAGCAAATGGGTGACTAAACACCTCCGATAAATGAGTACAAAAAATAAAAAACTTGACTATTTTTAAATCCTCTGGAGCAGCTTTTCCCAAACTAGTATTTGTTAATAACTAAGTTAAAATAACAAAACATGTTCTATGCTGAAATAGCTGGTGAAACAGTAGGACAAAACAAAAGTAAACTGGTTTCTTTATAGCGGAATTTTAAAAATGTATCATTAACCTCCAAGAGGGATATAAAGAATGCAACAGGGCTGGGTGCGGTGGCTCACATCTGTAATCCTAGCACTTTGGGAGTCCAAGGCAGGCGGATCACCTGAGGTCAGGAGTTCGAGACTAGCCTGGCCAACATGGTGAAACCTCGTCTCTACTAAAAATACAAAAAATTAGCCAGGTGTGGTGGTGCCTGTAATCCCAGCTATTCGAGAGGCTGAGGCCGGTGAATTGCTTAAACCTGGGAGGCAGAGGTTGCAGTGAGCCAAGATTGCGCCACTGCACTCTAGCTTGGGTGAGAGAGTGAGACTCCATCTTAAAAAAAAAAAAAAAAAAAAAGTTGGCCGTCACACATCCAGAACTTGCCACTAAATATATTGTTTGGATTATATGCAATTATTTCTTAGCTATCTATGCTATATAGTGGAGAATGAAAATAGGTGTAAGATACAATTCTTGCCAAGAAATAACATAAGATATAGTAAACAAACATGTATCTTCGGGAAAAGAAGTTATACAAAGCAAACAAAAATATAAGACTCAAGAGATATTATAACCAATGCAAAGCATAAACTTTGACTGGATCCAGGATTCATTTCTAAAAGGCTATAAAAATATTTTTGGAAAAATTTGAATACAGAGTATATATTAGATGAATTATGGGCCATTTTCTTAGGTAGGTAGATGAATATGTAGAAATATACAGAGATGAAATGTCTTGATAGCTATGTCAATTTGTTTTCACAAATGATTTGAGACAAAGTCAGCAAGTACAGTAAAACGTTAGTAATTGGTTATAGGATATCACTTTACCATTCTTTCGACTCCTCTCTAGGTTTGAAGTGTATCACAGCAAAAAGAAGGGAGAAAATAAAACTAATAAGCAAATTTTATTAGGTCAGATACAAAAAATAAATATTTAAAAGTATGGCCAGACATGGTGGCTCATTCCTTTAATTCCAACACTTTGGGAGGCTGGGGTGGAAGAACTGCTTGAGCCCAGGAGTTCAAGACTAGCCTGGGCAACAGAGTAACACCCTGTCTCTATAAAAAATACAAAAAAAAAAAAAAAGGCTCAGCATGGTGGCACATGCCTGTAGTCCTAGCTACTCAGGAGGCTGAGGGCACAAGGACTGCTTAAGCTCAGGAGTTCAAGACCACAGTGAGCCATGATCCCACCACTTTTTTGGAGAACTTGTCTCCAAAAAAACAATGTTGGGTGGTGGGGTAGAAAAAAGTCCTTTTCCCTTTTACTTATCTAATAAAAGCAACCGAGGTCAGCAAGGACTGAGGGAAAAAAGACAAAAGAATTGTGAGAGATAAAAGAATCGGGAGGAAGAAAAGAGGTAGTAAAAACATTAATTGTTTCCATTATGCTAAATGTTACATGGACTCAGAAAATGTTTTGGTTTTGTGAGATTATACATTTTTGTGTATCTTTTTCTAGTTTAGCCAGCTGGTGTATGATAATAATTTATTACTTTTTTTTTTTTTTTCTTTGAGATAGAGTCTCAGTCTGTTACCCAGGCTGGAGAGTAGTGGCGTGATCTCAGCTGACTGCAATTTCCAACTCCCGGGTTCAATCAATTCTCAGGCCTAACCCTCCCAAGTAGCTGGGACTATAGGCGCCTGCCACCACACCTGGCTATTTTTTGTATTTTTAGTAGAGACGGGGTTTCACTATGTTGGCCAGGTTGGTCTTGAACTTCTGACCTCAGGTGATCCACCCACCTCAGCCTCCTAAAGTGCCAGGATTACAGGCATGAGCCACTGTGCTGGGTCCTTTTTTTTTTTTTTTTTTTTTTGAGACAGGGTCTTGCTCTGTTGCTTAGGCTGGAGTGTAATGGCGTAATCAATGACAGGTCACCGCAGCCTTGAATTCCTGGGCTCAAGGGATCTTCCCACATTTGCCTCCCAAGTAGCTGGGACTATAGGCGCATGCCACTAAGCCTGGCTTTTTTTTTTTTTTTTCCATTTTTCATACATTTTGTAGAGACTGGGGTCTCGCTATGTTGCTCAGGCTTGTCTGGAACTCCTGGCCTCAAACAATCCACCTAGGCATCCCAAAGCGCTGCGATTACAAGTGTGAGCCACTGTGCCTTCTGGCCTTTTTCTCCTTTCGAAGTGAACATAATTTTTGGCTATATCACATTTAAAAAACTGAGCACAATTCTGTTTCATCGCTCCTTCTAGTAAACTATGAGAATACAAATACAAACAATTTCACTTACTAAAGTCAATTCATCGGTACAAATTCCAACTATAACGATTGCCATTAGTACCACAGGTATGACATAATGATAATATTTGGACCCTCGTGGAGGAGGTATACCTTATTTTTTACTGCTTCTCACCTTCCTTTGAAAATTCATGATTATTTTGATGGCAATTCAAACCCCTCCTTTTAATTACCCAATGAAATGACAAAAGGAATAGAAAAGGAATTGCAGTTCACAACATAGTTATAACTAAATGGAGAGTTCACAAATTTACTCTGACCTTTGCTGTGTAGTAAAGAAGGATGTTACCAGGCAGGTCGGCCATGTCAGACTCTTGACACTTCCAAGGGCTTAAACAATTTGGACCTGAAAATTATTTACACACATATACACACCATTGAATATATATGGTCTCCTTGGTTCTGTTATCAGAATAAAATTTAAAATTAAGCTGCTTTGAGCTAGTCAAACAATATAGCTGAAACCCATTAAGCTAAAGTTTACTTTGTTTTTATATTCCAGTTTATCCAAAACCTATAAAAATTGGGGAATAAATCAATTTCCATTACAGAAAAATTGTTTTATATAATATTAAAAAACTATTATCAGCCAGGTACAGTGGCTTATGCCTGTAGTCCCAGCACTTTGGGAGGCTGAGGCAGGTGGATCACTTGAGCTCAGGAGTTTGAGACCAGCCTGGGCAACAAGGCGAGACACCATCTCTACAAAAAAGTATAAAAAATGAGCCAGAGGTGGTGGCATGTGCCTGTAGTCTCAGCTACTCAGGAGGTGAGAGTATCACTCAAGCCTGGGAGTCAGAGGTTGCAGTGATCTGGGATTGTGCCACTGCACTCTGGCCTCAGCAACAGAGTGAGATATTGTCTCGGAAACAAAAACAAAAATTATGATCTGGCCATACATGGTGGCACACGCCTGTAATTCCAGCACTCGCACTCTGGCGAGGCTGAGGCAGGTGGATCATCTGAGGTCAGGAGTTTGAGATCAGCCTGGCCAACATGCTGGTAAAACCCCACATCTACGTAAAAATACCTAAAAAATAGCTGGGCATGGTGGCAGGCGCGCCTGTAATCCAGCCACTCAGGAGGCGCTGAGGTGCGGAGAATCGCCTGAACCCCACGAAGGCGGACCGGCTGCAGTGAGCCGAGGTCGTGTCATTGCACTCCAGCCTGGGCAACAAGAGAAAAACTCTGTCTTAAAAAAACAAAGAAAGAAAGAAAGAAATTATAAACAACTAAGTAAGATAACATGTCTTGAATCCAAGGAAATACCAACCATTAAAAAATGATCATTTAGGCTTGGCACAGTGGCTCATGCCTGTAATCTAAGCAGTTTAGGGGCCCAAGGTGGGAGGATCACTTGAGGCCAGGAGTTCAAGACCAGCCTAGCAAACACGGCGAAACCTTGTCTCTACTAAAAATACAATAATTAGCTGGGTGTGGTTGGCACACACCTGAATCCTAGGCTAACTTGGAGGCTGAAGCACAACGAAACACTTGAACCCAGGAGACAGGTTACAGTGAGCCGAGATCAGCCACTGCACTCCAGCCTGGTCGACAGAGCAAGGCTCTGTCTCAAAAAAACCAAAAAAACAAACAAACAAAAAAAAAGAAAAAAAAGATAAGGTTCTAATAAAAAGTCTGAAAGTGCAGGCAATCCCATCTCATCTTAAAATTCCCATGCCAATCTAAAAAAGATGTTGAGACAAATAACAACGCTATTCCTGCAGAGTTACATAATCTTAAAACCTTAACTCCTGAATATCCTGCTAGAATATACATATAATTTTGAAAGCAGTTGGCATCC